TTTAGTTCGCGGGCCACAAAAAAAGGCTTCGCGGGCAGCCAGTTGGTAACCATTGGTATAGAGTAATGAAGAATTTAATATAGAAGTGATACATTTTACAATTTGATAGATTTATTGTAACATACTATTCTAAAATAGATAAACCGTGAGAAAAATAGCTTATATAATAAATGAGTTTGACCACCACTACATATAAATAATTACAACAAATATATAAAAGCATAATAGTTTTTACAATAGCCAATTTCAACCTGGTTAAAATATAAATGTTTTTTTTTGAGTAAGATTGTTTTTCGGTAATTGTTTTACTGCCACTGGGAAAATCCATTCTCGGAAATAGTGAAAGTTGGCAGATATGCAATTAAAAAAACTTGACAGTAAAAACGATTCCTTCAAATGAATTATACAAAAATGCTATTAGCGCTAAAAATGATGTATACCTTAACCATGGGTGCCGCTCAAGAAAACCAACAATTTCAAGACTGAACTTATTTTTTGACTAATTAACACCGTCTAGTGTTATTCAGCAGAATTTTCAGACATTTATAGCTGACTGACTGCAAAAAGTACCTTTTTATGAGAATGGCCGACATATTATATCAAAGACTTGTTTATTTCTTCTAAATAAAAAATATTTCTTTCTTCGTTTATATTTTACAGCAAAAAAGTAAAATAAATAAAAGCTACCTCGTATATTTTTTACACCATTTGCTGATACCACAAACTTTTTTCTTGGAGTCAATCATATCTTTATTATTCACTTTTTCATCATCATTTTTTGGTTCTGACTCTATAAATTATATATTTTTTTAAAAAAAATAAACTTATTTTAATTTTGCCCAGTATTTCTAAACATCAGGGGAAAAAATGAATAAAAACTCCGGCAGATTCCGAAGATATTAGACTCCAATCATTTCAATTCTTTCATTGCAGTGTTATTTGATCATTTTGCAATAATTATGAAAAAACAATGTTCTCTTCATTAAAAAGTTTCTTTTTTCGCTGAAAAATTTATTTAAAAGCAAATTAAAAAGAGATTAATAGCATAGGATGCATTTCACAGTTTTTCTTCTTCTTCCCAAGACTGATTTAACTGCTCTGGACAAAAGAGTTGCATCAATGAGTTTTACTGCTCCATTAATAATGAAGCTGTTCCAACATTTTATGCTTGTCTTCAAATGCCTCCAAAGTTAATATATCACAAAAAAAGTTTTAAAAATGATTGGACATAATTTAAAAAACTGTTAACTTTTTGAAACGGAAGATAAAAAAAATTTTAGTCAATTGTATGGATACATTAAAGGTTCTGGATATTGCCACGCTGAACTGAACCAATGTTAATAATTTAAGAACGAAAATAGCTTTTAAAAAATGCGGATATTCAGTTTTCCATATGGCTAAATAGGAAGACAAGAAACTTCCAAGAGATGTTTTATTCAAAGAAATTTACATTGAAAATATACAAATAAATTACTTGATTATTTAAATCAGAAGGATTATATTTTTCAGCCCTTCCAGTATTTTACTTATGTCATTATGTTAATTTAAAAAATAACTTAGCAAATTTTTATATTTTGTTACTCATTCTCAGAGTAAACATACCTTTTTTTCAAAAGATTATGATTTCTGTCTCCCAAAATATACACGGTAGCTGCAATCTGCGAAACAAGGTCCCAATAGTTTGGCCAGAAGAGCAACCGAAAGCTTTGATCCTTTAATGTTCATTTAACTTTTTACATATTTCGAGAACTATTTGCGTGAATTGAAAATTTTTTAGCACAAGATTATAAAATTTGTTTATCTACAGATAATTTCGTCCGGAAAGTAAGCTTTAACAATTATTTATTATTGTTTATAACTTTGTTTAGAAAGAGTCTAAAAATTTTTAATTGTAAAGTATATAAGTTTTTACATTTAAAAAAAAACATTTATATGTCAAAATACAAAATTTGAATAGTTCCTGACAAATCGAATTTTAAATATATCAAATTATTTTCTACATGGAATTATTTTAGTATAAACAAATTTTAAAATTACATGCAAAAATTATTCAATTTGCTTAAAAAGTTCATGCGATAAGGTGAAATACGTAAAAATAAAATTAACATTGCACAGTCCAAGCTACTGAACAAATTTTTAAGGCCATATTTCCAAGATTGCAACTACACTCATATTTTGGGAGTAAAATATCCAAAGCATTAAAAAAAGGTGTGTTTATTCAAAGAAAGTATACTCTGTTTCGTGATTTCGTAACTTAAAATATTGTCTGCATCGACTAATTTGCATATTTGAGGTAATCTCTAAAACTATTAAAATAGAGTCCTAGTATGTGAAAATCTGATCATTAGAACAAAATTAAATTGAGGGCTTTTTTTTGTACACTATACATTGATGTGCTACAAATGTTTAACAAACATATATTTAAAAGTGTTCAATTCAACCATAAAATTAATAGCAAAAAAGTTTTGCAATGTTTCTCAAATAAATATAAACTTGTTAAATTAGTCAAATATAAACTTGTAATAATTAAGTTTGATAAAATATAATGATAGTTTTATATTAAACTTTAAACATCATTTTATTTCCAGATCCATTTTACATGTTTCCAGAGTTTTTACTAGAATCAATTTATTGATTGCACGGAAATTGAAATGTTTTTAATCAAAATGTAATGTTCAGCACATCTTGAAAATGTGGCTTATTATATTGTCTTAAGCTGCTTGATTACTCAGTTCTGAAGATAAATATATAACGAATAAATTATTTATTTTAATAATTTTATTATAAATAATAAATATTAATATAAAAAATTTTCTTCATTACTTCAATAATTTTTTATAATTAAATAATATGAGGTCTAATTAAGAAACAAATAGCAGTAAATCATTGATTTATTTCAAATTATTTTTCCTATGATGTTAGTAAGTTTTATGTTCTTTTTATATTAAACAGGTTTGATAATTTTTTACTATAACTGTATTAAATATTAACAATTAATAGCACTTTTTCAAAGTGTTATAAATATTGTTGAATTTTTATGAAAGATTTATAAAATCATTTTCAATAATAATTGGACCTGATATTTTTTATTAGTGTTCTTGGTTTCAATAAAGGAAGGTTGATTCTAATGAAATATAAGTTATGCAACAAGGATGCTGTATTTTTTAAATTTTTTAGTGAACTTGCATGGTTTTTAGAAAGAAAGAAGTCTTATTTTCATATTAGATAATCATAATATTAAAAAAGAAAAAAAAACATGTGAATACTAATAAAAAAGGTGAATGACAAATAAATTATTCGCCTCACAGTTTTAAACAAAAAATTAAAGATTTAATAAAATAGTATTTTCTAAAATTTTGTTCTTGCCACTTTAAATTTGTTTAATGTAACATAAAAAATATTCTCTATTTTCATAAAATAAAATTGCAGAAGATATTTATGATATCTTTTGCATACCTGGAAAAGTATTTATTACATACTTTTCTAGATTTGCAGTATACTGAGAAATAAAAATATTAGGACCAACTATTATCAATAATAATTGGTCCTAGTATTTTTGTTCTAATTCATAGTTTTAAGAAAAATAAGAGTCATTATGTTAGAGGATCAGAATGCAAAAGATAAACGATGTGAAAATCGCAAATAAAAAAGCTAAAAGAAAAATTTATTATTCCTCTCACAGCTTAAAACATAAAAATTTTTATTTAAAGATACAATAAAATAGTATTTCTTCCAATTTATCAATGCCATTTAAAATTTTTTTTATATAACATAAATAATTAAATTACTTTACAAAAAAACAAAAAAAGTGAAATAGCCAAGAGCTATTTATAATAAGCTTTCCACATTTTTAGAAGCATATAACAAATAGCTTTTCAAATTCTTTAGAAGGAAACATTCATATTTAAGAAACATATGAAAGTAAACTTTATAAATAAATTTTCTGGAGACAAAAATTCCAATCTTTCTGCACACAGAAAATAAAGTGCAGGCAAAAAACTTTAAATAGAATATTTTCAAAGGAAAAAAAAAAAAAAAAACAATAACAAACAATGTGCAGAGTTAGAGACCACAGAAAATAAAAAAACTAGCTAACAAACTTCTACAAAACAACTTCTTTGAAAATATTATAAAACTAAGAATTGAAATATAAATTCATTTTCATAGAGAAAAAAAATCTATCACTAAAAAACCAAAACAAGATTTTTTTTTAAAAATATATAATCATAATAGTATTTTTAATTTATAACAATTAAACAAGTAATAAATGAAAGAACAAGTTCATTTTAGCAATTTTTATTTATCAAATTAAAAATTGATTATCACAGAAAATATATAAACTAAAAATTACAAAATTAAAACAGAATATTTTATAGTTAAAAGAGAATGTATAGAATCAAAAAAAGATTTTTTGCTATGAAGTACAACTAAAAAATTGTTTGAGAATTATTTTGGACACCTGAATTGAATTTGAGGCTTTAACAAATTTGGTTGCTTTGTATAGAGACATCCATTATTTCTCCATGTTTTTCAATTGAAAAACCATGTTTGACATGGTATTTCTGGTACAAATTTGTCTAAGCAGCATGGTATGGAATAAATTAGTTGGATTACAAAGAGAAAACCAGTTTCTTTATGAAAGGTTTAAAAAAATACTAAAACTTAAGTTAATTTCCACAAAAAAGGAAACATAGGACATCAAAAAAATTAGGTTCTTCAATAATTTATTTTTCGCTCAGATGAGATTCTATGCAAATAAAATTTATATAACAATATTTCAGTCTTTTTCAGAATTTGAATTAATAAAAAAATCAAAATTAAGTGAAAAGAACAAGATAACAATATTAAAATGCGATATAATTATTATATAATCACAATAAAAAAAGAAAGAAATATCTCTCATCGAAAAATTAAGCTTACTTTTAAACTGGATAAAAAATCTAATCTATTAAGCTTAATTTTAATAATTCCATTGTAAAAAAAATAAATTTTTTTTTAAAAATTTTGGATGCAAAAAAAGTTTTTTAATTTAAGTACGTAATTAAGTTATTAGTTACAAGGCGCCTCAATCATAACTTTACAAACACATAAGTTTATAATAAAACATATATATATATGCATTATGACAGTACAATTTTTTAAAATTGTCTTGAAGTTAAAGGTTTTAGACAAAGACACCATAGCAAAGAATGAAAAAAAAATCACAACTTACACTCAATAAAGAAAGAAAAAACATTAACACAATAAAAAGATAAACAGTAGTAATCAATAACAAAAATTGTTATTTATTTATTAAATTAACATTTCATGTTAAAAATTCATTTGTTTTGTATTTAGAAGTCTTAAAAAGTTAGCTTTGAGTAATATTTCATTCAATACTAGCTAGTATTAAGAAATAAAACACAGAAACATGTTTAAATACAATGTATAAGTTTATACAAACAAAACAACAAGACACTATAAAAACGTTATTTAGTAATAAATTTCTCAAAAAAGTAAATTAAATTAACTACGTACACAATATTTAACATAAATAAACAACACATACAAATATTTATAAACATACACCCTAACATCATTTATGAAAAAAAGTTATCTGGCAATAATTTTCTCTACAAATGTAGTGCATATTCTTTTTTATAAAAATTTAGCAACAAAATAGTTATTTACCTACAAAATAGTTATTTTGTAAAAAAACAAACATATATAAGCTCAAAAGCAATCAACAGTCTCTTTCAACTCTATTTTACCACATAAATCTCTGAATTTCTAAGGAATCCTCCCATAAAAATGTTTTGAAGAAAAATAAATAAAACACTACAAAATTAACTAAAGTATATAAGATAAATTCCAAGTACGGTTGCCATAGAGACTCAACTTTAAGATGAAGTCTTAGCATAATATATGGAATTATAAAGTATCGGAACTCTATTAATCTTTGTGGCACAACTGATATAAAAATACAAAATCCAACCATGATCTTCAGCACATAGTCTTTGTGACTTAAGGCATTTACTAACGACCACCCACAAAATATATATACAGGTATCAAACCATATTTCATAAACACATTCCTCCCCAGTAGTCTCTTCCATATGTAAAAAGTGAAATGGCGATTATCAGCGATAAGATATGGATGAACATGTGAGGTACAGGCTATAAAAAATGCACATGCTGCGCATAATTCAAACACAAGCATTTTATGATGTCTAACAAATTTTAGGAACTGCTTACAACTGTCAGCTGACATCACATAGGGACTGGCAAAAAACGTAAAGAAAGTGAAGAAATAAAACAATTGAGGGATATGGAGGCATACTTGGTGAGCTTCTTTGTCGCCAAGAGCAATGGAACCATTTATTTTGACGAAAACTAAGAAGCAAACAGCAACAATGATGTAACCAGCATTGAGTAAAAGTATGTTAAGAATTATTTTTCTCCAGTTTTCTTTGAGAAGAGGAACAGTTATCTTAAGTAAGTGGGAAAAATTTTTATAAGCAAAATCCTTGTCTTTCTTTTTCAATTCTTTATGCAAAATGCTGATCAAACAACATAAGCTTTCATCGGCAGCAACCTGCAATGGATTAGTAACAATAGTAGTATTTGCGTTAATTGTAAGAACCAAGTTTATTTTCAATAGGAAATATTTTTAATAACAAAACATTCATTTATAATGAAAATAAATAATAGCATATGAAAAATAAATAAGGGAATCAAAACTAAAAATACATATTTTACTGTTACACTAGACCAGTATTTATTTATATTTATCTAGTTCTTGGGGACAGTTCTAGTTTTTTCATTTATTGACTCCTCAAATAAAAAAAAAAAAAAAAAACATAAGAATATAAGAACCAAGAATATTAACTAAAATATAAGAACTTATTGCATGATGAAATCAATACTGCAAACATATACATGCAAATAAACAGACAAAACAACTACGAAACCATTGAATTTATCTCTAGATGTCATTTCTAATAATATTTATATGAAACTATTCAGACTTATCTTAACTCAAGAGATCACATACACAAATAGTGAACATAACCGATATACAAATTCACTTTTTTCTTTCTTACCTTTGATCTTTTTTCTTTTTCAATCACTTTATAGATTGATAATTTAGCAATAGTTCACATATGACATGTCAAGTAGCAATTGCTAGCAATAGTAGTAGTAGAATATTTTGTGAGATGAAATTATGATAAATAATGCTTGAACTTAACTTCAGATTGGTATAACTTTGTATCAAATAAAGAATTTAAAAAGTTTTCTTAAAAGGTTTAATATTTTTTAACAGTGAGAATTTAATATTTTTTTCAGAAATATATTTAGAGCCAAATCAAGAGTTTTTTTTTATATATTTTTTTAACACACACCTAGAAATTAATTTAAGAAAATAATTACTTCCAAAAATACTTTTACAAGTCTAACATTTTTATAGTACAACAACTTCTGATATAAAATCTAAAAAATCTCGGAACATAACTTTCACTACTTAGCCTAAAATTGAGCTTTTAAAAAAAAACATCTTCATTGAACAATCCTCTAGCCTAATCAGTTCTTAAAGATACAAATTTTTTACCTTTTAATTTAATTTTAGAAAAGAACAAACAAAGGAGGCAATAAAAATGAAATGTTACACTGGCAAAAATTTAACATTTCGCATTTTAGGGGAATTTAAGGAAAAAGAAAAAAAAAAGAGAGACAGAAAATGACAAGTTGGGATATTGTACAATTTAAATTCACCTGCAATATTTGTAGGTTAGAACTTTCAATACTTTTACGGGATGTGTGATTTTAAGGTTGGAGTAACAAATCAGAGTGATCAAATTACACAAAATTCGGAAAAATTAATCTATACTTTTTGTTTTGTTTTCTTAGTAAAAATATCAACTAATTTCTTCTGAAAACCATAAATCCAAATCAATAAAAAATTTTGTAAGAGGAGAATGGTTCAAAAAGAACATTACATTTTCAATTGTCAGGAAGGATACAGTGAAAATAGAGAATATGTATCCAGTACTATTTCTATAATATAAAATATTTGATAAATAATAAAACAATTATTTTTAGTGCCTTTTTATCAATACAGGTTGTAATTAGTTTCTAGATACTTTTGAGAAATCTCTTTTAGCAATCCAGTGGAGATAGTTCTTTAAGCAATTTTTTTTTTTTTTTTTTTTTTTTTTTTTTTTTTTTTTTTTTTTTTTTTTTTTTGCAAAGAAAGCTCAAACACTCACAGCAGGTTTTAAATAAACATAGAATAATCACAAAATATTGAATTAAAATATCTTAGGATAAAATTTCACGCAAGTAAATTATAGGGGGAAACATCAGATTCTTACAAAAACAAGTACAAATGGACAAAATAGTACAAATAATTAAAAATTATTATAAACATTATTGCCTTTATGGTTCCATAAAGGTAAGATATTGTCTTAGAATCTAAAAATTGATAATCGAATAACTAAAGTGGTGCATTTTACCCTAGTGCAAGTTAAAAAAAGACAAGACTTCAGCATAAAATAAATATTAAATTTGCTATTTGGAACAATAGAAGTACAAATAATTAACAACTATAAAAGATATTTTATATATTCTTTGTTTATTTCAGCTTACAAAATCCAATCATTAGCAGTAGTATAGACATTAAAGCCTCAGCAAAAGAAGAAAAAGGTGTTTTTTTTTTCATCATTTCCTCAATTTAAGAAAATCAAACTGTTCGAACAGTTGAACCTCGATTCATTGTTAGCAAATCTTTCATTTTCTCGTATGTATCATCTTGTTTTAATTGTCCCAATAGAAATGCTATTTTTATAATGTCAATAAAGCTCATTCTCAGTTTTTTTGAAATTAGCAATAAAATGTGGATAAATTACAGTTTAGTACATACGCCTAGATCAACACATTAGATGTTTATCATTAAATAATGGAAATGCTCAAACTTGAGGTCATTTCAAGAAATGGGTGTCAAAGCTAAAGGGCAAGTGATTCTGATCAAGATGGTCAAACGGAACTACAACTAGTACCAACACTTGTGTTGGTATTAGTTGTTGCTGAGTTGGATCTTTTAAAACACAAAGAAACTTTCTTTATTCACCAAAAACTTATAGAAAATTAAAAGCAATCTGTTACAAAAGGTCAAATCTTTTTTTTGGAGAAGAGTGTTCAAACTAAAATTTATAGATAAATAAATATGTCTATTCAGATTTCTTTTGATTCACAAACCTTTTAACAAAAAGTACATGATCAATTCAATTAAAATATTTTTACACTTCTTGTAAATTTATTGATTTTTAAATCTATTAATTTTTCATTACTTTTCATAGATTTTCAACTCATTATTTGATATTTTATGCTAACCTGCAAAATTTTAAGAATCAGTGAATAAAAATGTAGAAATAAAATTTAAATGTAAATTAAAAAATTTTTGTAGCTTCATTGAAAATCAAACAAAATAAAAAATTTATTAAAATATAATACTTACAAAAAATATCCATACAATGTTAGTTTGCCTGAAAAAGAGTGTGATAGCACCAACAACTGAAGCCGATATGAAGAGTTTTTTCAAATGCCAATAGTACATAAGCAGAACGAAAAAAGTAGAGCCACAATCTGTGTAGTACAAGAAATTGAAAAAGTACAAAACTGGGAATAGGGTGATATTAACTGAAGATAGTACAGCAATTCTCGTCTTGTCCCTTTGGTGAAACTTCTCATTCTGCATAAAAGAAAAATTAAATTAATTTCATTACTAGAAATCAGTCTGAAATACTCAATATTGAATTGGGAAAGTTTCTTCTAAGAATTATTCATAACAATTATAGGGAAACATTTCATATCGTCAGAGAGAATTTAAGATTTTTTTTTACAAGGTAGAAAGTTCCCTTGTGAGAAATTCATATTAGATTTAGATAGAATACTTAACTTTTTTTTTCATTTGAACTTGGTCTGTCATCAATTAAAAATATAATAAAACCTATGCATTTTATCTCAATGCATAACAGCTGTCTAACTTTAATATGTTGAGAGATTAATACAAGTCATCTGAGAGAAAAAATTTAACAATTTGTAATAAATTTAACAGACTGAATTCAAATCACAGATATTTTTTTTTAAATACCTTCATATTTGGGATCCTTTTAACACAATATTAATTTAAGGTAATTATTTTGAAATTATTGTTAATAACAATGACAATTGTTTTGTTCTATACACTACAGTTGATATACAAAATATAAAAACACATTTCTACTATTGATGAAAAGGAACAAAGTAAAAGAATAAGTAGTATGAAAACACTTATAAACTCAAATCAGGAAAATATAAATAAAAAAGCATGTGAAATTATTTTGCACAAAAAGAAATCATTTAAATTATTTACATACTTATTTAAAGCAAGGATGGCAAGTTTTTTCTACAATGGAAAAAAACCGCTAAGGTGGAAATAGGTATCTTCCAACTTAAGTGGAAGAAGCTCTTTATCAAAAAGAAATATCAAAACATTATTTAAAACACTTTATAATTGCAATTTAATTTAAATAATAGTATTAATTTTCAAGTTACTTATTATATCACTTTTAATTAAGTAAAAACAGAAAAACAACAATTGAAAAATTGAATTTCTTAACAAATTAAAGCAACTGCAATTTTACAATATTTTATGTGAATGAGAATAGTAAAACCAAATTTTATAATTATAGAAAGAACTGTTGAAATAAAGCTCAAATCTTTTTTAATGCTACCAAACTAACAAATCACATACTAAACATTAATAATACTAAAAAACACATTATGAATTTCACAACTAAAAATAATATACTAATATTTTAATTGAGTACTATTAAGTATAAATACTGAAACAAACCTAATAGTTTTTTTCTAAGTAGAAGTGAAAAACTGTTAATATTAACTACATTAAATTTAAGCTATTTTTACAATGGATCTAAACATTTGTAAAGGTATTTTTTGGTTTTTTCTATAACATCTGGTATCTTCTATTTCAAAATTCATTCAGTATGCAAGAAGAAATAGGCATCTTCTGGATGAAATACTAACCCAGAATTTTTTTTTTTTTTTTAACTATATGTGAACATTTACAGTTCCACCAATTGTTAAACTTTATATACGAATCTCGATTAAAGATAATAAAATTAAAAAAAAATAATATAGAAATATTTAGAAAAAATAGATATTTAACATAGCATTTTCTTTTATTACTTTGTCAGTAAAAACTTTAAGAGCAATTTTTAATGTTTGTGCACAAATAACCCGATAAACAATTTATTAATCACCGATTCAGCTAAATTTTTTCATCTAGTTGATAAAGATAACGATGATTAATTTTTACTTTTTGCATATTCTTAGATTATGCCATGATGAAAAATCAGATTAAATATCTCTTATTTTCAGAAAGTGTTTTAAAGTTTAAAAAGAGAGAAATTCTACTGAAATTTGGAAGAATCTCACACCGATATTAAAGGAAGCTTGATATTAAATCACAAGTATAATTCAAGCGCAACAAGTTTTCAGGTGGTGAAAAAAGTTTAGGGGAATGTTAACTTTTCCATAGGTAGGGAATGATAAGGTGAGAAAAATAAGTATTTCTTCTGGTGAGAACTCTAAACTGGCATACTATTCTAATTAATTCATTCAGCATGATAGATTTTTTTGAAAATTAAGTCAGATATTTTATTCATTTCTCTTCTAAAACACACCAAATAAGGTGTCTATAGTCATCTTTTTGCTTCAACCTTCCTTCCCTCTTGCCCCTAAACAACTGGAATAAACTTTACCAGTTGCTTTACTCTTACTTTGTGCATGTCAACTCACAGGAGATCTATAGCAGAAAAACATAAGATATTTAAACTAAAATGTATATTTTACCTTTATTAAATGTTTATAGATGGCAAAAACAACCCAAATAGTACCAATAGTAAATGTTATGTTCACAAGTCGAAAACATTGAATCTTAGCAACATCTAATGTTGATATCCATGACACTGGATGAAGAACAGCAGCTGAATAAATATATAATCCAGGTGGAGTAGTGATTTTTGGATCCCACTATAAAAAAAATCACATTAATTAAAAAATAATCAGATAAATTTATTTATTTACTACTAAAGAAAAGTTTTGAAATGCAATTTATAAAAAAAATCAGAATTTGATTATTTTAATAAATTCCTACAAATTTAATTTTTTAAAAACAAAAGAAAGATTATCAAAAAAATATGTAAAAACATATAGATCTGAATTTCAAAATTATTAAAAATAAGAAACATAAAAGAAGTTATCATTTTTCTTAAATAAAATAAGGAAAATGATATAAGTTATTACAAATTTGGAATTGAAGTACATATTTAATAACATATTTGTTATTACATTAAATAGTTATATAGATTCATATAAATGGCATACAGTTGCTCAGTCTCAACTACAGAAAGCACAAGTTAACAATTTTAAAAATGAGTTTTGATCATTAAGCACATAAAACAATTAAATAACTCAATTCCTGACTATTAATAATGTACCGTGCAGTAAACTAAGATAAAAATTTTTTAAAAAAAATAAAAATTTGTAAACACAGTTTCAATTAAAAAAATATCTGCAAGCAATTATAATTAACTCTTAAATAATGCAATATTGATTAATTCTTGTAACTAGCTTCAACCCTTTCATTTGTTTCATTATCAGGGGTTTGTCCAGGCCGAATTTACTACCGTTTCGCGGTACCTTCACAAATTCAACTTTAGGAAAAACGATAGTTTCACAAAATATTTTTCCTTAAAATTTTATTTTTGTATCCCTTAAGAAACGATAAATCCATATTTTTGTGTTGATTTTTTAATATAATTTTTCACAAATTATGTCTACATTTTCACAAAATAGGTACCTCTCAGAAAAACCTAGACAGATCCCTGATTATTATACATACTAGCATACCTGAAAGTCAAATACTATGGGAAAGCTCGAATTTTTTTTTAATGAGTAAAACTAAAAAATTTTCTACGAATTTTAAAAATATTAACTGCAAGTTGAAATAGAAAATTTTGAAGATTTTTTGTTGTTTATTATTAGTAGTACTATAAAATTTTCTAATGTGTTTAAAATACTGACTGTGGGTTATTATATTGACTATTGATTTCACCATTATTTTTTTATAATGCATGATACTAAGAAACTTTCCACAAAGAATGTTCATTTACATTACACATGCTGTGCACTAAAAAATTTTCCTAAACTAGTAGCTCTTTGATATAATAAAGCTAAATGAATTTTATTTTTGCTAAACTGAAACATTATTAAGCCCAATAAAATATGAAATATACTATATTTGTAAATAAGTATTCTCAACAATACATTTTATTTGGCCTTTTTCTTCACAAATTTTGACTTTTTATTATCACATTTTGGCTTTTATCTGTCATATCAGATCTTTAACAAGGGCATACACTTTTTTTAAAAAAAATCTGGATTTAAAGTCTTCAGATTGGGGCTTTAAAAAGTGAGTCGAAATACATCTCTACAGAAAAGGAGTTTAAAAATAGAATCAAAATACAAATGTTGTCATGCAGCTGTCATATCAAATCTCTTAACTAAAGCACAAAAATAAATAAATAAATGTAATTTTGAGTTTGAATTAAATGCTCTCAAAATCGGTCTTTAAAAAGTAAGCCAGAACTTAATTCCAAAATACTATACAGTGTATTAAAAATAGCTTCTACTCATTCGATGCAAATGAATAAAATATTTCATTTAAATTGAATTTCTTATTTTTTCTCCTGAGGTAAATTATATAATGAATATCAAACAAATGTTTTAAAAAATATCAAATCTTCATTGAAAATTTATTGGGAAATATTATCTATCTATATTCATGTTTAAATATATGACTTAAATTAAATAGTTAATTTCAAAATTTTGATTTAAATTGCAGACAAGAAATTTTTTAACTGTTCCTTAAGATTTCAAGACATAAATTCACATTTAGGTGTGTAAGTTAACTGGTATTCTTTAAACGTCATATGTCTCAAAACGATTCTTTTAACGTTCTCAAAATACATATAGCAAAAAAAGCCTTAAAACTTAAGTATGTAAGCATTAATGTTTAAATTAATATTATTAATGAATATTTAGAAGAACAAAAAACAAACAAGGAGATAGCAACTTCTTTAGCAAGTTTAGAATACGTAAAAGCTTACGACAAAGTCTTTAATTTATTTTTTAAATTAACTTTTTTTAATATGTAAAATTTCCTTACATCTGAATAATTGCCTTTATAATACTTTAAAGCTTGTGGGAAATGAAAAATTTCATCCATGTAAGGTTCAAGTAAAATAGAATTCGTAAGGTAAAAGATATATAAAGTTAAAAATAAAACAATGTACGTAAACGCTCTTAACATAACCATATTGACGTTGAATGTAGTGAGCGTGTTTTATTTGTAATTGGATAAAATAGAAATTTATTGCAATTTGAATATTAACAAATAGATGACTTCATAAAGGGAATCATATATAACAGATTATAAATCATTATTATTGTAACTTTTAGAGTTTTTTCGGTCCAAATAGGGACAAAGTAGATTCCAGCGGGTCGGAACAACGAGTATGATGTTTGTAAACAATTTTTGTAAATTTCAGGTTCGGTTACAGTTATTTAAGTTAAAATCTTTATTTTCAAGAAAAAAACATGGGTGGCCAATTGAAAGAGCATTCCTGCTCAAAATGACTCAAACAAAAAGCTGTAAACAATTGAGTATCTGATTGGTGCATTGTCTATAATACAGGGCCAATCTCACAGCATGCGATTCATGCGGCATTGATAATCATCAAAGAAGAATAACAATCAGGCTCTAAACTCGGTTAAATGCTAGGTAAGTAATGATAAACTCAGTTAAACGCTCTTTAATTGCAATAAAAATATATATTTTTTTCTATTTATAATTTTTTTTAGCTTTCTTGAGAGACAGCCAATCATCTTTGTGATCGCTATCGCAACACTGGAATGCGCCATCTGGGGAGAAGATCGGTTCCATGGCTTGAACCTGCCTCCCACCCTCTCCTCATCTTCTCAGTTTTATCAGAATGTACTACGATATTTTCCCTTTCCTTAATATTTTCCAAATTTAATAATCAAAAATTTTTTTTAAAATTGCCACGACGCTTTTTTTTTGGAACTATGTTCAACGTAGTTTTCAGTTCCCTATGATTTCCTAACATAAAAAGTTTCAATCTATTTGAAAATCAAAAGGGAAACTGACGTACTTCTTTCTTTTGTGACACTCTACATACTAATGGCGAAAGCATGCGAAGTGTTGCCATAACTAGAGAGTTCTGCTCTACTCTTCCTCGAGCCCATTTTGATCGCCAAATAACGAAACGGTTTTCCTATTTTTGTAATTAACTCAATCCAATCAAAATAGCTTTGCCATTTAAGTATAGGAGAAAAATCTTATTTATAAAAGTTATGAAAATAACTTATTTCAATTAAGATTAAATTAAAATTAAAATAATCAGATGTTGTGTTACAAAAGAAATCCACGAAGATGTTTTTCAGATTTGCTTGGCGGCAATATGATTCCAGCTAACAGTTCATTGTCTCAATGAAATTATTTTTTATAATCACTCATTTTTATTTCATCCTTGTATATAATAACTTATCATCTCTATGAATATGACGAAATGCTCTACTTATTTCTAATTTAATCCAGAAATTAAATCTGGCATTTTACGTATCAGAGTAAAATCATATTTATGAAAGCTATAAAAATAACTTATTTTAATTAAAATTAAATTAAAATAATCAGACTTTGCTTTACACATAAAAGAAAACTATAAAAAAGTCTTTCAGATAGCTTAATGGTTATAGGATTCCAGCCAAATGTTCATTATCACAATGAAATTATTCTTTTAGAATCAATCCTTTTTTTTATCATCATTGATAGACAGCCTATCATCTTAGTGAATGCTGTAAACCGCTATTCTTATTTTAGTAATTTTTCGCACAGTCCAGAAATCAAATTAACTCGCAATTTAAATATCGAAGTAAAATCATATTTATAAAAGTTATAATAGTAAACTATTTCATTACAACTTAAATTAAAGTTAATCAAATTTTGTACTACAAACAAAGGAAAACAGCGGAAATGTTTTTCAGATTTCTGTTAAATAATTGGATTCTATCTAAATGTTCATCATCGCAATGAATGTATATTTTTTTTTTATAATCAATATCTTTTTTGTCGTCCTCAATATATAGCCTATCTTCTTAGTGAATGTTGGAAACGTTCTTCTTATTTTTCCTCTTTTAAACACAACCCAGATATCAAAGTAACTTGCAATTTAAATACAAGGGTATAATCATATTTTGAAAGACTTTTTGAATAAAAATAATCGGAATTTATGTTACAAAGATCTAAAGCCACGAAAAAGTTTCAAGAACGGCCTAATTGAGCAATAACAGACGATTCTCGTCTTTTATTCTTCTACTCAGTGATTCTTAACATTTTCCAATTTATTGTGCCTTGCATGAAATTTAACTTTTTGAACAAAAAAGATCTTCATTTAATTTAATTTAATTTATTTATTTATATTTTTATTTTTTTAACTACACAAATTCTGTTTTATTTATTTATTTATTTTATTGCAGAATGATATAAAAAATCAGTTATTAAGTGTATATTAATTTCTTTTTCTGAGAAATAATTTTACAAATTATAAATCTTAAAAAAATTTGAAAAAAAAATGTATCTGTAAAATTTGCGAATTTTATATTTTTCTGACAGAGAGACAAATGTAGATTGTTATTAATTTTTATTAATAATTCTAAGTTATAAAAATCAAATAAAAAATGCAAATTAAATATAGTTGCTAAAGAAACCATGATCCTCATTGAAGTTCTGTTAAGACAAACTGATCAATTTAGGTTGCAGATATAGAGTGCAAACTAGTGACGAGACCAGCGATATCAAAGTTCACCATGACTTCCATTTTGTAGAGGGAATGACCTTTCTGCCTTTATATCTATGTCTCTAGAAAACGATTTCTTCATTAAAAATGGCAGACTTCCAACATATAGGGATGATGACTTTCTTTTGGCCAAACAGAAAGCGGAGTACACAGAAAATTCCTGCACTGAAAATTCTTGTTACTTCTTGTCTGAAAACATTTCTTTAGCTATTTCTGTGAAGAAAAACTGCATCTTCCACAATAATATTCCAAAAAACGTTTTTTACCGGAATAGTGCCGTAAGAAAACATGCATTATTAAAAACTGTCCAATTATTCTACAAATGTTTTTTATAGCGTAGAACTGATTGAACAATTCCTTCAAAAACGTATTGCTTGGAAATGGATGAAAAAAAAAGACTTTGGTGGAGCTCAAAAAACAATGATTTTGGGGATTAGGAGAAATCAAAGCTCTGTAATAGAATTGGAAGTGCTCAAATAAATACTCTAATTAGAAGAGATAAAAAGTTTGGTCGAGAAAACTGTTGTCAAAAACCTATTAATTGGGCGTCCTTTCTTTCTTTCTTTCTTTTTTTTTAAGAAAAGAATACGAGACTTAAAAGTAAAAAAGAATAAAGTCTGTGAGCATGATAAAGTTAAGTCCGTAAAATCTGCTAAACTTTTCGGTGGGAGATATGAAGCTTCACTGCTAAGAAGCAGTCAATAAAAAATGAACTTAAATTTTGCCATCAAAAATTACTTTGGTAAAAACGAAACGGCTGTATGAACTATAATATACGACTAATACAAATTGTCACAAAATGTAAATATTGTACATAGTATATGTTCTTTTATTATTATTCTATATCATTTATTCTCATTCTCATTTATTCTATATTTCACATTTCGGATATATATTTTGGCTTTAATAAATATTTCAGAATTCTAATCCACTATCCACTATGAATCCATTATTACCAATGAATCAATTCATTGTATTCAATACATTATACTTGCATGAATTAAGACAATCTGTATCTTAATTCATGCAGTTGCATATAGCAAGGCGGAAATTTAATATATCAAGAAGGAAAGGAGCAGATATAGGTGGGAAAATTATCTCATTACAGCTTTGTTCTCATGTAGATTAAAATGTACAGTGTGCTACAGAATAAGGACCACCCTGAATAACTTTTGATCTAATGATCGAATCTTCACTTTCTAGGACTCAATCTTAATGGCTTGAGGGAAGGACTTAATATGTTTAATAAGTGCAGATGATATTTTAAGTTACGAAATCAGACAAAAAATGTATATTAATTGAATATAACATACCTTTTTTTTAACGGATTCAGATTTCTAACCCCCAAAATATCGGGGACGATCTGGGAAATATGGTCCCAATAGCTCCCAATAGCTTTGAGCGCGCTCCAAAGTTTGCACCCCTTAATGTTAATTTTACTTTTGCATGCTTCGCTTTATCTCGAAAACTTTTTTAGCCAATTGAAGATTTTTTGCACACAGTTATAAAATTCGTTTATCCAAAGATAATTCCATGCAAAAAAAAAGTAGTTTTCAGTAAATATTATTTTAATTATTTTATTTAATAATGGTAGAAAAAAATGTTGAATTGTAAGGTATACAAATTTTTGCTTCATTTCAAAGAATATAATTTTGCAATGGAAAAATATAAAATTTGAGCACAATCGGTCGAACAGTGTCTGAGAAATCAAATTTTAAATATGTGACTTTTTTGAAATCTAAATTTATTTAAATGTACAGCTTTAAATTGATATCTATCCAAAATAACTAACTGCATTATACTTTCCAATTAAAGGTCTGGTTTCTTAGGACAAGAACAAAATACTGGTTTGTTAGCTCAAGACCTGGTTTCTTAGAACTAGCGCCTTATCTGGGCGTCAGCGGAAAGTTGACGTAGATCTGACGCCAAAAAAATACTTTTTTGTTAGCTCAGCGTGAGCAGTCGGTCCAACGCAGACATTATCTCTCATTGCGCATGCGTTAATAACGTAAACAAATATTTATTTTGAATTTGTATTGATTTTGTTATTGTCGACCAGTGTTTTAGAGAACAAATAATGACTTTGTCCAAGAAAAAACACATTATAGCTGAGCTAAATGAAGAGTGCTATGTTTAATGAAGAAGCTATGTTTAATGTCAAAATCAAAATCTTGGCTGATTTCAATGTGCTGTTGGATGTTGTCCGCCATTGCTTCTGTGGTTAACGTCACGTTGTAATCCAACTGCAGTTGAGTTGGGCGGCAATTGAAGTTCAAGATGAGCGTTCGATGATATATGCTATCAAACTCACAAATGGACCAATCAGAGGTTAGCGCTGATTTCCAGCTGACGGCGTCATGTCCTAAGAAACCAGGCCTTTAGATTGGAAGAAACGTCTTCAGAATGCTTATTATGCTTATTACCACCCTTGATTATTATGTTTATTACCCTGTTTGTAAATTAAAGCAGTAAATTTTGAAAGCTCTTTTTCAAAATTTCATTAAAACAATGTCTTTTTATTTAGAGGTAAAAAAATAAAAAAAAAAAAACTTTACGCAAAGTATACTGAATTTATCATTGCGGGTAAAAATATCAAAAAATAAAAATGAAAGAGAACAGCTAAACACATTTTTCATGCCTTATAAATTTTAATTAAAATTTTCATGTCAGGTGTAGTTGTCATTCGTTGGTGTAAATGTCAAGCTGACAAAAAAGAAAGAAAAAAAAACAATATATATCGGTAATATGATCAATTAATTATTACAAATAAATCAGAATTAATTATTACAAATAAATCAAACATTTCTGCTTATACACTTCTTTTCTTCATATTGCCATTTTTCTTTACCTGAAAAAGAGAATTATAAATTACGTGACAAGGAAAATTGTGAAAAATGCAGTGGAATAAAATGTTTTATTAAAAACTTTTTTAAGCAAAAAAATAAGATTAATAGTAAGCCTTTTTTTTAAAATGTACTGTGCGCTATAATCTAATGATAGGATCTTCACGTTCTCTTTTCGACGGATCGGGTTTTCGGTTTCGGCTTCCTGATTTTCGACGTATTTGGACTTTTGACCTCCCCCCCCCAAATATAGGGGGTAGCTTCAATCTGTTAAATATGATTCCAATGGTTTGGTAAGAGAGCTCCCGAATTTTCGACCCATAAATCTTAATTTTACTTTTTGTGTATTTCGCCATATCTCGAAAATTTTTTAAACGAATTGAAAAATTATTGCACACAATTATACAATTGGTTTATGCAAAGGTACCATGCAAAATATAACTTTTAGTATATATATTCATATTTTTTATTATTTCATTTAAAGATGGTCGGAATAATTTCGAATTTTAAGGTGATCAATTTTTTTTACATCGATTTTAAAGACAGTAATTTTACACGGCAAAATATAAAATTTAGGCGAAATCGATCAAATAGTTCTTGAGAAATAAAATTTTTCTTCACACTGTATTTTTTGTGTACTAAAAATGAAAAAAAACTACTTTTGAATAAATTAAAACAAAACTCATAAGACAGTAAAGTGGTGAAAAGCATTGTGAGAAGGAAATGTTAAAAAAAAGGGAGAGATTTACTTATTTAAAATTTTTCAAATGAGACAGAAATCGTAAAGAGATGACGAACATTGTGAGAATGTAAAGCGTCACTTAACAATTTTTGCTTTTACGACAAGATTTTTCATTTAAGAAATATTTTATCCTTTTTAGTATAGCACAAAACCAACCGTCGATACCGGCCACAAAAAGACTAAATATAATAAAATGTCGATTAAAAAATTTTCTCTCAGTCGCAACCTAATCACCATTTTTTTTTGTCAAAAATGTACCCCATGTGCATTTTATTAATATTATTATTATTAATTAACAAAGAATTAATATGAATAAAAAATAAATATAAGTGTGTCTCTATATAACAGAAAAAACACAACAGTTTGTTTCTCATTGTCGGCGGATTCTTATTGGCCAAAAAATCTCATGGTTCTTTAATTAACTAAGGTAATCCAGATTTGTTTAGTTGCCATCAGCATAAAATTAAAAAAATATATATATATGAATTTATTTTTTACGCGTAAAATATCTTTTTAATTCTATTCTAACTATATTTACTTTTAATATTTATTTACAATCATTTCTTGATATTATTTTAAAATATCATTATGTTTATAATTTTGATTAATATTCCACATTTTTCTAAAACTATAAGTGGTGAACCTTTACTATTAAGAAATCTTATGATATTATCTTACTGCGCATCATTTTGTGATAAACATTCTGAAAACGATACTAACTTGTTACTGCTTTTCAATATATAAGCAGTTAATAAGTTATATTTGCTGTTGTAATAAGCTTTGTCTAAAATTTTGTCCAATGCAATTAGAATAATGAAAACAAAACTGCAACACATTATTAGGAACTAACTTTTCACATGGTTGCTAAATTAACTCTTTGGGGAAAAACATTCAAAGAATTATTATGATAACCAAAAATTAAAGAATTAAAAGAATCTAGTATCGATATGAAGATCGAAGAATTTTGTAAAACGCTATTCAGTTGCCTACACCGCAACAAAAGTAACACCAAAGCAGTGTAACACCAAAAGATGGTGGTTATTGCTTAACACCAAAAAATGGTGGTTACTGCTTAACATCAAAATATGGTGGTTACTGCTTAACATCAAAGTGGTTCAACCAAGGACAGTTCCTAGCGTAGTGCTCTTTTACACTATTCGGTGTGAAGTAACTGCCACTACTTTTGGTAACAGTAACACAAATATTTTTAATTATAGTAAGTTAAGATACACGTGAGAGTCAGTTAAGTTGTTTTTACGAGACAATATGAGGTAAGAATCATTAATTTAGGTTGCATATTTTTACTAATTCTTAAAATAAAATTAGTTAGTAAATCAAACAATCCACGTAATACACAGAATAAAGTAGAAAATAATAATAAAGACGAAATCGAATTAGGCTCAAGAGAATAGAAGAGGATAGATAGAAACTATAACATTATACAAGTATTTAATGCAGTTTTCAGAGACTTAAGAACTAAAATGAAATATCCATATTACACAATTAAGAACATATTTTAATGGCTGATTTTTGTTTCAGTAAATGCGTAGCAGCTTTAAAAATAATAACAACACTTGCTTACTTGTATTTAAATGTGAGCGATTTGCAGACGATATTTAAAGCGAGCCAGCAGTGTTGTTTTCGGTAGCAAAAATATTGAGATTAGTTCTAATATTTTCTCATTTTATATGTTTAGATTTAAGTGACACCCTTTAAATTGCATATGAAAACTTAATTTGGTGTTAACTTAGGAAGAAAAAAAGTGTTCCCTTACTCAATATTTTGAACTATTTAACATCAAATTCAAAGAAATATTACACCATAGTTTTTGAAGTGTAGTAGCACCGGAACTAATATATTCTCCAGATGAATTGCTGTAATACCTCGTGAAATCAAATTAACTAGGTCCGTTGTCTATTTGTATTTCTTAAAATTTCGCTAATCCGAAATTCCGATTGTTATTCATATCTCAAACAATTTTGTTGTTGTTGTTGCTTTTAATGCCACTTGCCACACGGGTACAAGTGGCATGCTTGGTGAAATTTAAGCAATTTAAGGCAGCAACTTTAAGCAAATTTAAGACAGATTTAAGCAAATTTAAGGCAGAGTGTGCGTTTCTTGTTTTTTAGTGGCGCCATCTATGGCCAAAAATTTGACTTCTGCGACGCCATACGTCACACCCGTTTATAGGGTGGACCCATTCATACATCCATTCATTCATCCACAAATCGTAATTTTGACCTGAATCAGAGAATGATCGATCTCCAATCCAGTACCCCCAGAGGTGTTGAATTGTTATGGGAACATGGAGGACTTTCGCGACTCGACAGATTTAGCGCGCATCAGTCACTTTACTGCATGGAGAGCCTTCGGCCGACGGGGTTCGAATCCACGAACTCTCGGACATGGGCCCAGCTCCCTACCGACCAGGCTATCCCGGCCCCTTCAAACAATTTCTCTCGACATTATCAAAAGCAAAGTTATGTCACTCAATCGTGTTATATCGTGGTGCTACGATCATCCTTTTTTCAGTATGTGGTAAGAGACGTATCCGCATGTCCGACGTCGTATCAGAATCGACATTCTTGTTCATAAGATAAGCAAATTACATACACACACAGGGGTAATACTTTTTGTGATGTGTTATCAGGGTTCTAATTCACATGAATTATCAGACATTTGAAAGACAGCACGACCACGATGACATCGCTTGCATGTATCCAACTTCGAATATCAAATTAAATTTAATATAATAATAATAAAGATAACATAAAAAGAGAATCATGTATTTATTTTTTATTCTTACCTCAATTAAATCCGAAATGTCTGAATCTATTTCCTACTTGAAGAAGGGGAATGCTGCATAAGGGGCAGTGTATGCTGGGGCATAAGCAGGATAATAAGAATAATAAGGAGCAGTGTATGGATAACCGTAGTACATCAACGGCAGTGATGAAGCTATGGTGAGCAATACAGAGAGCAGAAAAAAGAGAGCAACCTAAAAAATTGAACAAAACTTTAAAAATATTTAAAAATGATAAAAATAAAATTTATAATGATTTTACATTCCTTTTGCATAGTATTTCAAAACAATCTTATTGCTTAAACTGCCTTATTCCAATACTGCGTAAACTCTAAAGAACACTAACACCTACTAACTCTATAATTTAAGAAATAACTTACTGAATGCATTGAGTATTTCTAACTTTTTATAATTTGATTCAATTTAAGTGCAGATTTAATCATTCATGCGTTAGCCTTATAGGAACGTATATATAGAACCTTATTTCTAGAATGACGGGGGGGGGGGCAGTCACCCCCGAAGGTATTTTGGTAGATACTCCATGACCACTGGTAAGTTTGGGTATAAGGTACCCATTAGTAAATATAAGGTACCCTAGATTCGTTCAAAAAAACAAGAGTATTTCAACATGTTGCTGTTTCTAATGCCACTTGCTAATACCGGCAAGCCCGGTTGGTGAAACCTAGCGAATTTAAGGCAAAGGGTGAGTTTCTTGTTTTTCAGTGGAGCCATCTACCGCCAGGAATAGGACTTCACACACGTCACAGCCCGTTTCAAAGGGTGGACTCATTTATATATTTATTCATTCATCCACAGATCGTAACCTTGACTTGGACCAGAGAACGAGCAATCTCCAATTCAGTACTCCTTGATGCATTGATTTGTTAAGAGAACTTAGAGGATTTTGCGACCAGGATAGATTTAACGTGCACCAGTCATCATTTACTACACAGAGAATCTTCGGCTGGTGGGGATCGAACTCACGACTTCTTGGACATGGGCCCAACGTCCTACCAACCAGACTATTCCGGCCCCTTATTTCAACATATCTTCAATTATTAATCATAGAGCTGTGATGGCTCAGGGAATAGACCGTTCGCCTTCCAATGAGGTGAGCCAGGTGATTTCGAGTTGATAAAAAGTGAAGAGTTAAAAGTACTAAATTATTTATCAGCTAACAATTGCTCATGTGACGGTATTTTGTATATTTAACTGTTTTTATAATTTACCAATGATTTGGCGCATCTAATGTGAAATACCATGAAGAACAGTTTAGCGTGCTATAAGCTATGACAAAATATGAATTCTGAACGTTTTAATTCTTTTAGCATTTTGCAAAGCCCCTAAGCTGGTTGATTTAAATGCACAGAGAAGTATTTAAAAGTTTCCAATTCAATGTTAGAGGCTGAACTTGATTGTAACCGTAGTACACAAAGTTTCTCATTTCCTAAATTCAATCTGTTGTAAAGCCTATTCTTTAATAATTTAGAGGTCGCTACTATGATGGGTAATCTTTTACGTTACACAATTTATTGAATTCTGATACTAAGAATCTTGTTCTAGTTGCCTTGGCAACATAATAAGAGCAATCTCATTTAGGAATATAACTTAATTGATATTTTAATGTTGTGAAGAACGTTACTGAATATTTGAGATGTTTTCTAGTGGGAAAAATAAAGATCTGACATATGTTTAGTTCGTACGATTTGCAAGGCATTCTTACGATTAAAGCAAATATTTTTCATAAATATTTTTTGTCCAGATATATCCAGAAGTGATGACAAAGCGTAGCAGGTAGTACGTCAATCATTGTTTACATAGTGGGAGTTGCCTAGCCTGCTATAAGCAAATATTGTGGAAATGTCCATTTGAGACAGCCTGATATATATAACAGTCATATATAACCGTATGTTGCGCTGCTGCGGTAATAAGCTTAACTACTAGTGAGATGATAATTTTATCGTGTTCTTAATTGTTTTGAATTAAATTTACTATAATCTTTATAATCGTTTTTTTTTTGTTTCATTTAAATTCTTGGAAGTTTTTCTTTAAAGATGTCTATTGTTAATGAAAACACAGTACATTTTTTCTTAGCACCTGAAGTAAATTGCAATTAAAAAGAAAATAAGAAGTAAATTACAATTAACTTACAAAATAAATTACATTTAAAAGAATATTTTGAATTCTCTCGAATTTTTACTTTCTTAATTTATTCCAGTGCTAAACTTAATACATATTTATATGTTGACTTGCACTATTATTCTTTTTAAGCTGATAGAGGAAGAATAAACACTAAGACGTGTTAGTGTTTATGGTTACTACTTACTACATTTAAGCATTTCAATAACTTTTCAAAACAAATATCTTTGCTCCTCTGTTTACAGTAAAATTTATAATATGACAGAATTTAATAAACAGATATAAACAGGAGTGAATAAGTTCTCTAAAAATATACAGCATCAATTATCAAACGTAATCCATCAAAGTTGCAGCCAATCAAAGTTCTACAATGTACCCTTCTTAAATGATATTAAATAAATTTTACAACAGCGTTAAATTTAATCATAAAGCACTGCGTTACGATTACCTATAAGAAACGCATTAAAACGAACTTTCAAAAACTTTGCACAGTTTTCATTCTATTGCTATTAATAATACGTTACTCCAAAAGTGCCTCACTTTTTTTAGTTTATTCTAAAACAAAAGTTAAAAACTGTACGTCAGAAAAAGATTAATAAAAGCAGAAATTTACAAAATTGCTTTCTCAAAAAGATCGTCTTCTAATTTCGCTTTAAAGTAATATTTTTTGAATAAAAATGAGGCATATGAAAGCAGCTTTGGTTTGCAAATTATTTAAAAGTAATGCATTGTAAGCAAGGGCAAATATTTTGAAAGACGGTCTACTATTTTCCCGTAAATTAATAGAAACGAAATAAAAGATCGGAATTAATTCACCGTATTAATATTTAAAGGAAACAAAGCACATAAAGACGTTTTTCTGTACACAAATGATTCAAAAGCAACAGGTTGAGATTTATGCAATAAATTTAAGTTAAAACGCAGATAGCTTTTCCATGCCTTAAGAGATAATACCTAAGTTTCAAATACCAGGTGTATTATCCTTTAGAATTTAATCTAAATGTAAGTTTGAAATTCACAAAGACGATATATTAGATTTTTTTATTAGATTTATCAACAAAAATTTAAAATAGAAAATTAGAAAACGATATCGAAAACACACCATTTCTGAAATTGTTTCTCAGCATAAAATCGTTTTCAAATTTTACTTTTAGAGTATTAGTTTTTAATGAAATGAGCTTGTAAATATAGTTTTTTATTTACAAATGTACTGCAAAATTGCCTTATTTTAAAGTTTCAACAATTTATAACGAGTAGGTAAATTTCCTCTTTTTTTATAGTAAGAGACAATACACACATATCGTATACCAAGTGTGTAATTAAGAGTTTAATCAAAATTTTAAGATTAAAATTCTGAAATTCTACGAATAATTTTTCTAGTTAAACAAGGATTTTAAAAATAACGAATTTTAGAATAAATAATAAAATGCTTTACCAAAGTCTTCATAGTGAAGATAAAGTTGAGCAGTACAGCTGATGAACACTGGATGAACGAAAAAACTAGTAGCACAATACCTGTTAAATTTTCCAGCTTTTTATACCATTTGACTCGACCTTGCCGCATCGAACAATGTTCTCAATTTTTTTTTACTGGTCTATTTTAATTTATTTGATGTAAGAACATTCTGAAGAAGGTATTCCGTCAAATTTTTATTCACCGTATTTCATTCAAATATATACAATCTTATGTAATATCAATGTCACCTATGATTTTTATGTTTAAAAAAATGATAAGATTTAACGTGACAGGAGTTTCTCGCTTTGAGTCTTCATAGTTGTCGTTTTGTCTGCAGTTTAAATCTTCACAGCATATGTATGATTTTTAAATTGTTGCCTATTGTTTCCGGGTCATCGAGACGCTGCTGATTTAATATTCCTTTTTTTTTCGAAAATTCCACAAAATCTAATTTTGGGCTTTTTCTTTTTAAAATCTATTTAAACCACCAAAAAGGCTCACATATCTATTTTATGTACTTTCATTAAGCTATAAAATTAGTGAAGTAATTAAGTATTCTCTTACTACAATTCAGTACTTATGCTACCGTTAAAGCTTAAAAGCCTTTTATATGCACATTGCATAGTTAATCTGCAGATTTACTAGGGTAATACGTTAAAGTGCAGAATCAAGAGTTCTCACTTTACCAAGGTAATGCTCGGATTAAAATTTTCCGGGTAGCCTAAGTTCAAAAGTTTGTTTCTATTATTCGATCCACTACATAGTCGATTCTTTGATTTTATTAATTGACTTGATTCCTTATGTATTGAAAAATTAATAAATCACATTTCAGTTTTCTTAATCACAATAATATTTTAAGCTGTTGGTTTTTTTTTGTATTAGAGCTTATAAAGTGATTGGGGATTTATTCTATAAACTAATGCATGGATTAGAGTATTTTTTTTTGGATTGCGACAAATTAATAACATTTAGCTAATTTAAAAAAACAAACAAAACAGAATTGTTGTTGTTCCATCAGCAACAATTTTATTTTCCATTTAATGAGTATCTAGTACATAATGTATTTTAACAGATCACCCAAGTTAATAAGAAAAATCTGATATCCACACTTTCTGATTGAACACCTAAACTCTTAAAATGTATTTGGCTACATATCATTTTGTAGTTTGCTGAAATCTAATATTAATTCAGTGAGTCGTAAATTTACATGCTAAATTTCCAAGTGTTTTAAAAGAAAGTTTGGAGATGCTATCAGAACTTTAAATCTCGTAAGGATTCCGTATTTAGGTAACAAGTTTGACAACTTCAGTGTTACTCTGTTTTATTGTGTGTTGTGTGCTAACATACAGGCACGCTTAACGAGTATAACAACTGAAGTCACTTTTCTGTTGTTGCTTATAACGTAGGTAAAACTTTTAAAGCCATATTGCTTTATGCTTGTTTTTCACTATTAAAGGCGTTAAGGAAGTGGTTAAGATTGTGCAATTACCGAATGAGGAATTTATTTTACCATTTAAAAGAATTAGAAGATTATTTTTTCATTTATAATCATCTTATAAAATTAGCCATTCTTCTCAAATTCATATTAGCATGTTGCCTTAATTTTTATTTTTTTTATCTTTAAAGTTTTTAAAAAAATTAAAAATAATAAGGAAATGCATTGCATAATGTATCTTTGCTCATGATAATAAAAGTTGAAACTGAAGTCAGTTAAAAAAATATCTACATGGAATTTATTGATCAAATACATAAAAACATTTATAAATACTTATCACATGAGGACAAATGACACAACTTATAAGTTAAAATGAGGAATCGAAAATTCAACATTAAAAACTAAAACAAAGTTGCTTTTAAGAAAAACTAGAAAATAGTTTAATCGAACACATTACACAGAATTAAATTATGCAAATGGTAAATGTGATAGCTTATTGGAATTGATTACAAGCTATTTTTTTTCTCTTCAGAAGAGATTGATACAATTTAAAATATGCTAAAAATTAATATGGTTAATTTACAAAAATAGCCAATCTTATTTACAAAATAGCCAATTTTGGAAAGCAGTATTCATCAACGTTTGAGAAAAGAATAAAAAATTTTAAATTCTAAATGGGTTAAAATAATTAGACTTTCCTAGAAGCATTTACCAACACATTCCAAAAGAGTCGATTTTGAAGGACCAGGATCACTAACACAAAAAGATAGCATAAAGAATTTTAAAATAAAATTGCTACTTAATTAATAGAAACATTTGACCATTAATCTAAAAAATAATCAGTTTCATAGGAAATATATGTAGGAGATCTATTACTTATTTTCAACCTGTTATTTAATTTCGGATATGGACTGTCACTTCTTTCGTTCGAATCTGTCCCTTTTTCTGGTCCTTTAAACAAAACCTCTTTGGATGAAAATAGTTCTTTAAAAAAGGGCTTTTTATTATCTCGATCTTTAACATCGTCTGTTCTCATATTTTCTCGCTTGGGCTTGTTGAAGTAACTGGCAAATCCTTGCTTCCACTTATTAAAGCTGGCAGACGATTTTAAACCTCTTTTAGTACTAATTACAGGCTCAGCAACAGATTCCCTCGCAACTTCCATAGATTGGGTGAAGTCATTCTTTGCACTTTGTTCGAAATGGGAACTAATTAATCGTAACTCTCTGTCGATTGCTTCTGTTGAAATGGACTTGCGTCTTTTATTGGTATTTGAGGGACCGAAATAATCTATGGCATTCCAAGCTGGCATAACAGGAATGTTCAAATCATTCAGATTATCCTCCAATTCCATCCGCCTACTATGTTTTCTTTGGCGAAAAGGAAATGAATAACTTCTAGATAAATCACTTTCAACTGTCAAGTCACTTTCAATTGATTCTTCCAAAGTTTCCAACTTTGGAGAAGTAGCCTCTTTTCTTTCTTCTATGAAGTGGCTTGGACTTTTCAGATTCGACTGAGATTTTGAACCCTTTTGATCCTGATAGGCTCTCCAATTTCGAGTTTTGAAACATCGAACATTCTCATTTGAGTCGAAACGTTCTTCAAAGTTGTTTCCCCGTTGATTGAAGCCATAACTCTTTGTTGATTCCGATCGTCTAGCACTTGCTTTAGAGAAAATGGGTGCTTTCTTAAAAATATCGGACACATTCGTTTGGGTATTTGCGTCGCTTGACGAAACAGCATTAAGTGTTTCTTTGTTCTTAGTGAGAAGACGAGCTCTAGGAATGGTAGGGCTTATGACTTTCGATTGTTTGGGAGATTTCGAGACTTCGCTTGAAGCGGCTTCTTGTAATCCTGAAACAAAGTATATAAATATTAAGTGTTTGTCAGTAAATTTTTTAAGAGGACTTTTGCTTTACTTCCCGTAGCGATTACAATGCGAAAATTCACGTTATCTACCGATGGTACACGCTTAATCTTGATACCACTTGTATCTAGTCTGCTATTAAAATCTATAGGTTCGTAAGATTTTTTTGGAAAACCTCCAGCTTTAAAGAACGAAAAGTTTTCAACGCCCTCAGAAAAAAATGCTTTCTCTTTCTATTTTCCAGTTAATATCCTTTTTTTAAAAGCTCCTTAACATTTAACCTAACGTTTGCGACTTCTTTTATTTTGGACACATCAATAAATGATAAATACGGGTTTAAAAAACGTATCAATTTTCTTAACCCTTTGAAGCGGAATTTTTATTAGATATATTTTTCATACTTTTTCGATTAATTTGTATTAAATTAGGTCATAATAAGAGAAAAATACTATATATAGCATTTTAATAATTTATGGTGGGCCGGGAGAGCCTGATTAGTAGGTCATTGGACGCATGTCCAAGAGCTTGTGAGTTCGATCACTGCCAGTCGAAGACTCCTCGTGGAGTAAATGGTGGCTGGTGCACGTTTAATCTGCCGGGTCACAAAATCCTCCGCGTTTCCATAACAAATTATACCTCTAGGGGTGCTGAATTGGAGATTGATCATTCTCTGCTTCAGGTCAAAATTACGATCTATGAATGAATAGTTATACGATTGGGTTCACTTTACAAACGGCTGAGAAGTGCGTGTGTGTGGTTAAAGTCATATTCTTGTCCACAGATGGTGCCACTGAAAAATAAGAAATGCCCCCTCTGTCTCAATTTCGATTAGTTTCATCAAGCAGGCTTAATGGTATAGACAAGTGGCATTAGAAACAATTTATGGATATAAAATACAGCAGGGGTTCTGCGTTAATGGCAAAATCTTCCAAACTCGACTCCCTTCCGTACAATAATTTTTCAAATTCGCACTTATTTCTAAGAGTAACAGTTATTCCTCATTGAAATTTCTTTAATTGTCAAAATCAATTATTGATCACTTTTTGAGTATCAATTAAAAAAATGTTTTTATCAAAAAAAAACTACTTTGTTTGAATTTAATATTTTAGTGCCAATATAGTTCCAATAATCCGATTTTTTTAGAAACCACTGGACTGTTTTTTATGATTGCGAAATGCAAAAATATTTTTTTTCTTGTAGTTAGAGCGTCAGAAGAAAATATGTAAAAATTGACACCGGTGTCAAATTAGCAAAGGGATAAAAACGTTCAGAATAAAAAGCTCATTAGCGATTTTCGATTAAGTACACTAATGCTAGATAGATACTATGCCGTTAATTTACTAAAATTTGTTGTACACCAATATTTTCATAACTATTTGTTAGTAATTTTTATTAATGTAACTCATACTTTAGTGTTTGAATAAATATAAACCGTATATCACCTTGCATTTCAAGCAATCCATTTTATATTATTCTAAATACTAAAAAACATGTTTTATTGAGACCTATGAGAAAAGTGAAATGATTTGTGTAATCAGTCCTGCAATAGGGTTCTACACTGCATCCAGGACTGAGTCTGCGTTGTTCAAAATCAATCCTGACTGTTATATTTTATTAGCTAACTAAGGCAAATCTGAAGCAAGAAAAAATTGAGCTAGGAAAGTCTATACGACTTAAATTTCCCGGAAAGTAAATTTGATGGCAATTTTTTTTAAAAATGAGTCTTTAATTAAATCAAAGAGCATAAGCTGTTTGTAGCGAGTTTAAACGCAGGCAGAAGTGCTCAGACTGAATTTTTATGAGAATTTCATAATGCTTTTTAAATTTACATAGGATTAAATGTATCCTACAGAATTTTCAGAATTCAAAGACAAACAATTTCAAAACATGCTTTTTTGTTCTGTGACGTTTTCTAACGAATCTACGACTCGTTAAAGTTTTGCACTCAAGGATTTCTCCACCTATGCGATATATCTTAAAAAATTTTGTGCAGTGCATATAGCAGGTCATTGTGCATGGAAGTTAGTTTCAATTATACCCAAAAGAATTTTTTCTAGAAGCATCGATTTAAAAGTTGACTTATCGCAACGTAATTTATATAGATTATCCCACATATAATGCTACAAACTTTAAAGAGAGATAGAGCACATCATAAGGACGGAGAATTGTTGACCGATGATCAAAAATCAGATCAACCTATGACCAGATCGGTCAATCAATGACCAGAAATGTCATTGTATGTCTTTATGGGCGCTTTTTCATCATGAACTGTTTCCTCGCGTGTCTTTGAACTGGTACTTCAATTTCTGATAATTTAATAAAAAAAATTAAATTACCACGAAGTTAAGATATTTTAAATAAATAAAACTACCGATTTAAAGGTACTGAATCAATATGTTCGTAATAGGAAAGCGCCTCGAGTGATGCTCCATTTTTGGTCATAGGGTTACTATGTGATTTTCCATGCTTTTGATGTGTATTACTTACCTCCTTTTAAAGTTTGTATTATTATTTAAGATGAGCCGCGATATCTCAGGGGATAGAGCGTTCGCCTTCCAATGAAGTCACCGAGTTCGAATCCCAGCGATGGCAGGTCGGATGCTCTATCCCCAGAGTCCCCACGACTCTAAGATTTGAACTTTAACGATACGGAAGCATCACATTAGATAGCACTAACCTAGCATGTGCACATAACCTATATAAATTGTGGTAAACTTCTAATTTTGCACTTTAACGGTATTGAATCGAATGTAGAGTTCAATGGCACAATGTCCAACCTCACTTTAACGGAGAAAGTCAGTTAATCTACAAATTAGAAAGGTAATGCGTATATTAACGGTTTTCGAGCCTTAGCTGTAACACATGCATGTCTTGCGGAACCTCCTAGCCAGAGATGGTTAATGAGTTACCTTTATTATCCGAGTTATGCTTATGGTTGATGGGAATTTCATTCTGAGCATCGTCTGCCACACTGTACCAGGTAGGAAGAGGCAGCAGTTCCGTGCAGCAGAAGACAATTAACAGTTGGTAACAGAAGATTGGAATCAAAGCTAAGAATAAGATTCTCTTATCTAGTAGTACTTCGTTGTAACTTATTGCAAAGACGAATAGGAGTAGGAATATAAGTATGATGAACTGGTAAACCAAGTGTATCCTTGCGATTCTTGGAACAGACATTTCAATCCTATCGAATGAGAATTTTATCTGAAATAAACATGATTTATAAGAAATTTTGGAACATGATGAAAGTTAACATGGTGCTAAATTAAACGATTTAACTTTTTCCTAAACTTGCTTAGACCATACTAAAGTTGACCCTTTGACGAAGATGGGACATCGGCGTCCCTTTTATATATATATTCTAACGTTCTAATTACAAGCAAAATATATTCCGGTATTTTTTAATTATAAAAAAACAGTATTAGTTATTTAAAATATTTGTTAGGATATGGGAATTATATTTGTAATAAAATATAAAATCTGAAAAAAAGTATTTTGAAATTTTTTTTCTTTTCCTTCTTTATTGAAATATTTATCAATAATAGATTTCGTAAATTAGAAAAATTTCAATGATGAATAACTGGTTTCTGGTTGAATAACTGGTTGTTTGGAAGTGAGCCGTATTTGGAAGATTGTACCTTTAACGCAGTAAAAGATAACGTTGTTTCATATTGTATTTCATAACTATAAATTATTAAAATGCTAAATATAATATTTTCCACTTGTTTTGACTCCCCCCAAAAATAGTGAAAGCTTTTTCACATTTTTCATATCTTAAAGCTTCGGTAAGTACCTAATAATAAATTTTTTTTATTGAAACGGTAGGAAGAGTGGCAGTACTTCATTTACTTCGCTGTACAATGGGCTATTGGCGACAGTTTAGGAAAGATTCCCTAGCATGATCTGAAATCATGCCATCACAATTTTGACCCTCTGCCGAGAGGATGGCTCCACCTTTGGTAGCCTGATGACCTGCGCACGAAGTCGAGAAGATCAGTTTAACGAGAACCAAAACTACACACCCTTTGTCCCTTCGCACGCTGATTAAAGTAGTCACCCACCTGCTCACTGACCTCAGTCAGTGATGCTTGACTTCTTCGCTGGAAATCGAGTCTTACGATCAAATCATCAAAATTGTGATGGCATGTCTTCGGATCATCCTCCGGGATGTTTCCCAGACCGTCACCAATAGCCCATTGTGCAGCTCTAGTGCGACGTAAATTAACATCAACAACAACAACTTACGATCAAATCATTGCGAGATCAATATGAAAAAACTAATATTTTAAATTATAAAAAAAAAAACAAAGCAAGCGAGGGTTTGTTTTTATAAGTGTTTGTGGATAAGTTTATTTTTTCAATAATTTTTTTTAAGTTAAACAAAATATTTCGAATTTAAAAATTTCAATTAATGGGTGCAAACTATCTTAAGATAATTTTCGCACTAAGGAAAAAAAGCAAGGTATTTGTTTTCCTCTGTACCATAAAAATTTAAAAATATAACTGTTCGTTCCATGCAATATGCAGAATTAATATTCAGAATATCAATATTATACAGAATTAATATTATACAGAATTCTCATTATACAGAAAAGTCACATATGGTCAGCTATAAACAAAGAGCATCCAGATATCTTTGGCTGCCATCAGTATTAAATAAGTAAAATTTATGATGTATTATTTAACTCTGTTTTATTTAACGGTACTTAACAGCGATATTTACTTATCATAACTTCTTAATATTATCCTCTATCTTTATTATAAATTTGAATTCAATTATTATTCCAATTTAAAGGCATTAAAGTAAAATTGTCGATTTTATTATCAAGTAATCGTATATAGTACCATGTTATGCAACATTTTGTGATAATGATATTTAGTTACCGTTTTACAATTATGAAACTTGAACTAAGTTATATTTAATTTTTAAAAAGTTACACATTTTCTTTTTGATGAGATATCTTACTTTTTCAATAAACTATGAACAATTTCAGCAATTCGACTTTTTTTTATAAAAAAATTTTACCCGCGTATGAAATTAGAGTAATAAATATATACTATTTAAAACTCTAAAATAATATTATGAATTAACTTTTTGTACTACTTCTAAAAAATTTCTTGGCAGGAAAAAATTAGAGTTTTTATGGCAACAAAAAACTAAATTAGAGTTTAAAAACGAAGTTACATAATAAATAAGCAAATTGCACGTGGTTAAATTTTACCCTAATCGAATTGGAAGTTAAATTTGTCGAATCTAATCTGTTTTCATACAGTAAAAAGTTTTGAGATAGTTTAATTAGATGAGGTTTAATTTTGGTGTAACAATCATCAAGAATGAAAAGGAAAAAAATTGGCAAAGCAATAGTAAATAAAATGTACATTTGCAATTAACATTTGTAAATAAAATGAGCAAGGCTCGGATCCCCTAGTAAGCAATAATTACGAATCAACCGAGTTGTTAATGAACAACTCTAAATCGAGAATTATTTTTAAATGTGGAGATATTACTTCATGTATATATTTCTGAAAAGACTTTTACTTTGTTGTTTAGTTAAATCAAAATTTTCAGTCACAATTTATGGAAAGTGCACATTTTATTTGATTTAATGTTATTGCTCATTATTTCATATAATTAATATGCAATTTGATTATAATTTAATTCCAGAAAAAATTCGAAAAACAATATTTAATAAACTATATTTAAAAGCAATATTTAATAAACTATATTTAAAAACAATATTTAATAAACTATAAAGTAATGGCTAAAATAAATAATTACATCTTATCCACAGAGTAGAATGGCCAACCCCACTTATTGTTCAGCTCTGCATTTTCGTAATTTTGAATCAACACAGAGAATCATTTGAATTGTGAACCTGAATTTCCGTTAAATTTAGAGGAAAACCACGAAAACACTTATGATTTGAAGGTCCACTCCTCTGAAAGGATGCACTACTAATCGTATTTTCACAGAGTACATTTAAAATGTGTCAGAGGGTTAAAAGATAAAGTTTTAAAATTTTTTTCAAGTTAAAAACTTGGTATCATAAAAAAAAAATCTCAATTCTGCCTCTGATAGCTCTGAATTGCGATAATAATGTTAAAGAATATTAGACACTACAAAATATATAGAATAATACAAAGTAATAAAAAAAGTTGAAACATGAAACAAAGTTACCCAATGCTTGCTAGAACAAACCAATTAAAAGTTTTTTTTTTCCACCTGTGGTATTTTGAAAATGATAATGCGTTTTAGTTCAGTTGAAAGCTAATATTTTTATAAGTTTTCAGTTACTTACATCCGCTAGGTCTTTTCTTACAACAATTTAGTTAACTTTTGTTACATAAACGAGTTTAAAGGCAGGTTAAAATGCTTAATACAAATTACTACTCACAAGCCCTTGCTAATTTAAAGAACAGATAATATAAATTAAAGCAGGACATCACAAATATACATTCAGGATTTTGGCAAGATTAGAATCCGGTACCTCTACGCTACAGAGAGCGTTTGATGGATGGGCAGACCGCTCAGCCGGGTTGGTTTCAGCACTATGTAGAAAAAGTACAACACAAATACACAATCAAGTTTACGGCAGGATTCGAATCAGCTACTTCTACAATTCAGAACGTTCGGAGGAAAGTTCAATACCAACTTGATCAATATCCTTCAGCACACGTCCCGCAGTGGACTGATCGTTAAGACACGGTTCCCTGCAGATCACCGAAGTCAAGCATCACTGGCTACTGTCAGTGTGCGGGTGGGTGATCACTTGGATCAGTCTGCGTAGGGACCGAGGGTGTGCGGTATTGGTCCTCGTTAAACTGTGCTACCGTAAAGTGCTCGACTTCGCACGCAGGTCGTCGGGCTACCGAAGCGGGGGTGCCATCCCCTCCGCAGAGGATCAAAATTGTGATGGCATTCTTCCGGGATGTTTCCCAGACCGTCGCCAATAGCCCATTGTGCAGCTCTAGTGTGACCTAAATTAACAACAACAACAACGTCTTTTGTTTATTGCTTTATTGAAATTACATTTATTTGCAGGCTTCTTTGCTCAATTTAGGCTTATAAACCTTTGTCAAGTAGAAAGACATATAGAACAATTTAGAGAAGGACATCGCGAAGAATGCATCCGGCGGGATTCGAACCCGCCACCTCCACACTTCACACTGCGTTTGGCGGGCGATACCGCTCGGCAAGGGAGGCCCCTATCTTTTGTTAGAACAACGGCAAGCAAGTTCTGCATTTAAAGAAAAAGTAGTTTAAGAGTAAGAATTTAAGGAGTCAGGGGAGCTTTCATTAAACAAACGTTGTAAAGCACAGAAGTTGTGGGCTGGAATCCTGACCAAACAGCTGGAATCTTCCCGCAGTTTTTATTTAATTTGTGCATATGTTTTTTTATTTGACAGGAATTAATAAGCTATTCTTAGTATTACGCAAACAAACATGCATTGACAAACTGCAAACCTATGTGATTGATTTAAAAAAAGCAAGGAGAATCAGAAGAATGTTGAGTAAGAAGTTGTTTAGCAAGTAAAAAGTTGTTTTGAAAATCGTTCAGTGGATTGGAAGAACTTGGCTAAAGATCGTAATCCGGAGCGGAAGTCTTAAGACAGTTAAAAAATGTCGCTAAAGGCAGGTGGGAACTTAGATAAAGTCTACTATTGTCAAAGTTCATTGACCCAACTTATACACTAAAGCGAATAAGCTCTCTCTTCCCAATGAGGTGTCCCAAGTTCAAATTCCAGAGATGACTGGTTGTGCAAAATTTGAGTTTCTTGCTACTTCAAAGATTATTTTAAGTTTACAATGAGCTGCACAATGGGCTATTGGTGACGATCTGGGAAACATCCCTGAAGATGATCCGAAGACATGGCATCACAATTTTGATCCTCTGCAGAGGGCACCCCCACTTCGGTAACCTGTCGACATGAGCACGAACTCAAGCACTTTACGGTAGAACAGTTTAACGAGGCCCAATACCTCTCACCCTCAATCCCTTCGTAGATTGATCAAAGTGGTCACCCACCCGCACACTGACAGCAGCCAGTGATGCTTGACTCTACCGGAAATCGTGTTTTAACGATCAGTCCAGTGTGTGATTCACTAAATCTATACCACACATATGTTGATTTTTTGAGTAATATTCATTAGTATATATTCGTAGAAGCATGTACCTTCTGGGTTCAGTGTTGACACAAGTAAATTTTGATTGTCGAAGTCTAAGAAAATATCATTACTTCGAAGATTTTTGAATGACCTTTGGCCTTACATACAAAGATCTGCTGAAAGTATTTCGCTCATGGGCTGCAATAGCGGCACAACTAAAAAAAAAATCATGCTTTGAGATAAGTGGGTTTAAAGTTTTCATTGCTAACGAAAATGCGCAAGAAATGCTTCAGCTTGCTTAAGATTACCTTCAAGTTGAATTATGAGTTGTGCTAGTATTGCTGCTGAAAAGAAAGTGTATTTTCATATTTACAGCTGTTCTTAGCTCAAAACGCATGTTTTTTGAGTTGTGCCTCTATTGCAGACCATGAGTGATTTATTTCTTAATAGTTAGTGGGAAAGTACTGGAACACAAAATAACTGGTCTTGGTTCTCCCATTCCGCAAAAATTACTACCGAATGTAAGTAGATGTGTTTCTCTACAAATTCCAGAGAGAATCTTGAGTTTCGACACCCCAAAAACTCTGAAGAAAAAAAAATTCTGCTAAGTGAAAAGAAAAAAACAACACTTGTGTAATAAATTTATACATGGAACATATAGAGAAAATTTTAACAGAATCATAAATGCCATGTATACCACATTGCCTGATATGCCGGATTTTTTTTTTTCATTTTTAAAAATTAGTTGTCTCCAAAAAATAGTCGATATTTTAACGCAAAAAAAGGACGGACAGAAAAAAGAATGTCCCTCAAATAAACACCTTTTTTTCTTCACGCACCGGATTATTATTTTTGACATTTACAGCATATAAGTGGATGTGTTACAGCATGTAATAGAAATATCGGGGATGGAGTAAGTGGTACATGGAAATGCGATAGCAATCGTTTAATCAGGAGAGAGATCGAAAGCTCGAACCTCTTCATGTTAATTTCACTTTTATTTAATTTTCTAATCAAAATTTGTTCGCGCACAACTGTTCATCCAAAAATGTTTCAATGAAACAATATTTCATTTAAAGAGTTAAAACTGTTTTATAATTTAATTCAAGAAATTATTATTAAATTCAATTTAAATCAAATGCGCGTTCCTAGAATTATACGATGCATAAGTTTTTTCAGTATTTTAAACTCAGTAATTTTAAAGAAAAAATACATAACTTGAACGAAAGCGGTCGAATAGTTAATAAGAAATAAAAATATAAAAACTATGAGTTTTTTTTTTAAAAATTTCATAACTTATAAACTATGAGAACGATTCTGTTCAAGTTGTGTATTTAGAAGTACCTACACAATTTAAGTAATGTAAAAATTTGTACATCTTACAAATAAAATGATTTTCTACCAATATTTCATTAAATTATTAAAAAAAATTGCATGGAAATATCTTTGGATAAAACAAATATATAACTGTATGTAATTTCTTTAAATTAACATAAATATTTTGCGTAATAAAAGAAGAGTAAAATTAGCATTAAAGATCCTAACTATTTTGAGACCGTATTCTTCTAATTGCGGCTGAAACCTTCCCATATTTTCTGGCTCAAGAATCTGAATATGTTCAAGAAAATGTTTACAGTAGAGTCCCGATTATCCGAGTATACCACATATTTAACCGAGCTATCAAATATTTCAAGGAATTTTTTTTGTTTTTGTTCTAGTTTATTTTTTTATTTTAAAACTACCGCGGAAAAGAATTCTGAATTTTATCTTCCGCACACTCAGGAATACAAACTGACGGACAACACGAGATTACCAAAAAATGATCGTTAATATCGTCAATAATGAAAATGAATCTTGCGTAGATGATGAAGATAGTGACGATGAAAATCATCGACGTCATCGAGACAGTGACGATTAAATCTCTTATAAAGATGGGCTGAAAGTTATCGAAAGTGCTATTGAATATATGGAACAAGCAGGACAGGCGATACCAACCATCCTGTGATTCCCAAAAAAATGGAGAAACATTGCTGCAGAAAAGCGCCAAAGTAATGTAAAACTATAAACGATTAAGTACTTTTTTAAGTACAAAACTCTTTAATTCTCGTAAAGTATGCTCTTTAAGCGTTTTTAAGTAAGCTTTTTAATTATAAAAGGAATGGTATGTGGTGTACCCGTATAAATTCCGTATTTGTTAAGTAAATTACATTTATACCTACTCTTTTTGTCCACATTAACTAGGATAATCGGGACTCTACTGTATTTATTTAGAAGAAGTAGGTGTTTCACTTCTCTGAATAAATCATCATCTGTATAAATAATTAAACAAATTTCATGTCAAGCTTTCGAAACATTAAGTTTCTTATAAGTACTTGAAAATCCACTCGTATGATCAAAAATGATTAAGATGCTCCATTTTTTATTCTGCAGACTGTATTTGAATTTGTTCAGCAATTGAAATAAACCATTGAAAATAATCGCTTGGTAGAACGATTTTTTTCTAGCTAAGGTTGCAATAATACTGAGGCAGGAAGAAAAAGACCTTTATATTTAAAATAAATAAGTAAGTAATAAAACTCAAACACAATACAGATTTCATGTCACGAAAATTCTTTATTGGAATTTACAAGCAGGCAGCATTTATTTTGGTGGAAAGTACTTTTAAGGGAAGGAAAAGCATAACAAGTTTTACATTTTTTTTTAAAAGTTTGCTACAGTGAGATGGCAACTTGGAATGATTGTGCAGGAACGCTTGAATAGCAGTTAATCTGAAAAAGAAAGAATTTTGTAAAAATAGATTTGGTTTATTATGTTAACAACATTTCGACATTTGATTAATTTAAGTTATGATAAATAAATTTAATTTTCGCAAGTCAATATTCTAATAATGTATAATTATGTCATTATTGCCTAGAATTTCATGAAATTACTCGCAATAAGTATATTGCGTAATTATTACAAATATAAAGCGTATTACGAAACTATTTTTCAACAATGATACATATTCAAGGGGTATAATGATAGTATGATGATTTTAGTATAATGTTACATATTTATTAAAATCAGGCGACCATAAGGTATTTCGAGAACTGAATTCCGATTAAAAATAAATAAATAAAAACATAACAAAGGGGAAAAAACACGATATAAATATTACTTTAATCATTTAGAAACTTAATGTACAGGGTGTTCTGAAAGGACCAACCTTAATATGTATACAGTTTAGAATTCTTGTAAAAAGAAAAGGGAAAAAAGCATGCACATTAGAAGTCGCAAATCAGCGACATATACAACTACCCCACCGGTAGTTTTAGATGGCGTGGGTTCGATCCCCACTCTGGATAAAATATAAATCCATTCGTAATACTTAGTTTTAAACTTATTTCATAATGTTACATACAATTCAAAAGCATAAAACATTAAAATTATTATGTGTTGCCACCATGAAAAAACGAAACCGAAACTAAAAATACCCCATCTATAGTTCAGCAATCGGACAGAAATAAGCCACCCCTGACGCTCTATGATGACGTCACTTCCGTAGAACGTACCGAGGCTACTACTACTAACGTAAAGTCATTTGTGATTAGGGCTGCAAGTTTGTCGCGGGAAAAAAGACCCCAAATTCGCGGGAAATTTTGAAAATTACGCAAATTCTAAACATAAAAAAATTTATTATATAAATGATGCAAAAGACAGAAATTGCGCAAATTATAAAAAAGCTTAAAAATACACAACAGAAGTATTTCCTTGAATTTCAAGCAATATTAATATTTTGATTTAAATGAACAGAATTTTGGTACAAAGTATTGTGCATTGTCAGATTATTCTCATTTATCCTTCGTCTTTCATCACTTTACATTTTTATACTTAGAAAACGATCTTTCTGCATCAACACCACTTTTGCCAATTTTGGAGAGTTCGGTCTTTGATTTCCAAAACTCGATCAATTTTCCTTCACCAACGCGCAATTCCTTGACCGTTGCTTTGTAAGAAGTAATTGCTGTGAAAACTCAAACATTCTACATTCAAACTACCAGATACAAGTCCCTACTAACTACTAGTCCCCCCCTTCATCTAGAAACTGATCCATATTTAAGAAATCACAAGAAGTCGTATAGGAAAAATTAACTGGATATGTAGAAAGGCAGTAGAAATTTCATTGCCCAGTGCAATAGCATGTATAACAATTTTTCTGTCTAAGATTTGATTTATAACATTTTCCTTCTTTTGTGATTCCAATTTCTTTTGTACTCTTACTGACTTCAGGAAGGTAATTACCCTCCTTAGGTGTAGAAAGACCACCTTAGTTGACAAGATAGTGATTATCTCTGAACTATTTTCATGCCATTTTGCTATTGATTCACTCCCCTAAATATCTAATCAATTTTACATGTTCAATTTAAGGTTCAGGAAAATAAAAAATTCTGTTTAATAAAAATAATAAATTAAAAAAAATCACATTTTAAGCAATTTTCGCGCAAGTCAAGACATATTGAGAAATTTGCGGATTTTAGGAAAAAAGATGACAATTTCGCGGAAATCATCGCGGAAATTCGCGCCGCGACAAACCTGCAGCCCTATTTATGATCAAATAATTGCTCAAGCGCTGTCTAAGACAAACAAATGTGGTAAAGGTTTACTTGAAAGGCAAACATTTTGTACATCAATATCAAATCTGACAAGTTAAGCGAACACCGTGATTTTACCTTTGCACCGTGATTTCTGCCTTTAATGAATTCATTTAAGCAATCAATGTTAACGTAATCAAAGTGCTGCCCTGATCAAGCGAAAGGCTATCAAATAATTACTCTAAATAATTTACTAGCACGCATTTCGTTCTGAACACTTTCATCTAAGTTATCACACTTTATTATTTCACTAAATACTCTCCTTAAATGGATAATGAGTTACACGTTATTTGAGATGCATTCCTTTTAACCTTCTTCTATATCCGTATCGCTACAACATTTCTGGTGCTATCATATGACCACTTTTCATTTGGAAAACCCATATATTTTCTACATTTTCAAGATTTTGGGAGTATACTCATATATATATATGCGATCACCTGTTTAATTGTTGATATTTCGTTTAAGCACGCAATTTATGATTCCTCATTTCGATCCTCAATTCTTAGCTTTCTATCTTGATCAGTTTTGAAACTTAATTTTTCATATTTTTTATTTTTGACTCATTAACTTTTAAACTAGTTATAAAACGAAAAAGTATAAAATGTTTAGATTTATAATGTGGTGTAGGTCCAAAATTAAAAATTTGTATGAAGGATAAAAAAAAATAATATTGACTATTTAAGAAATATTTCTTAAAATGCTAAATAAACATTATTTGATGGGACAAAAAAGTTTCAAACATTTTTGATAATTGAGATTTGGTATGATATTCTGATAGTAAATAAGAAGTTCAAGGTAAGTGCTTTTGTGACATCATTTTTAAAATGATTCCAGAAATATTTATTAAAGGCAGCCATTAGGAAAATTGTATATAATTAGGTCTTAAGAGATATTGTATGGATTTCGGGCTAGGACAAGTTCGGAATAAAAGTTCTTGGTTTCATTTCTAAGAATTAATCCCAACTCAGAGTAAATCTCTTGTACAGATACAGACCCAATAGACATTGTTGAATCTGTGTTAGTAAAACAAAGATGAAAGATTAATCACACAAAAGATTTCATGACCTACTTGGTTCTATCCTATAGCAAAAGCATTATTTTTTGAGAAGTGGTAGTACGTATGGTGCTGTATACGCTGGTGCATAAACTGGTGCATAAGCTGGTGCATAATAATAAGGAGCTGCGTAGTAAGAAGCTGTATATGGGTAACTGTAGTACATCAGTGGCAAAGCTGACACTACGGAGAGAACGACGGACAAGAGGAGAAAGAGCACTACCTGAAATTAATATAATTTTAATTAATTAGAGGAGACAGTTTAATCAGTTTTCAATTAATCAGGGGATTGAGCGTTCGCCTTTCAATGAGGCGGATCGGGTTCGAATTGCAGCGATTATTGGTCGATACGAATTCCGCACCGACCACAGTGCTGCCGTGAAATATCCTCAGTGGTAGACGGATCATGGGTTAGAGTCCCCTTGTCATCAGGCTATTCTCGTGATCTTTTCCTCCATGTAACGCAAATGCGGGTTAGTTCCATCAAAAAAAATCCTCCACGAGGGTAAAATTTCTTCCAATACTTGATCCAGGAGTTCCCTTGTCTTCTGGATTGGGTTCAAAATTACAAGGTTACGTAGTTGAACGTTAGTACTCGTAACCTCAAAAATTGGATCGGCTGTTCAACGGCGGTTATAAAATATAAAATAAAGTACTTGCTCTTCGTTTGCTATACTCTTTTTACAAATATTGCATACAAAATTTATTGCACTATTCTTTTGTATACAAATGTGTTTTACTATATGTTTATTTTTTTTTTCTTCTTAAACGCTGTATGTAATCATAGTCTTGGAATTCGTACTTTATTTACAAAAATACATAAACTCATGTTTGTGAAAATTGCAACACCATGAAGAACTTACGCGAGTTAACTGAAATTTTCAGGAAATGCAAAGCAATGCAAATGATTAATGATAATATAAATGATAATATGCAAATGATAAATGATAATATGCGAATGATTAGAATTTCAGACCCGTAGCGCATGCGTATGCTGAGCAGCGCCCTCTGAACGGCTGATGGATCCGAATAAATAGACGGCTGTAGCGAGGAGTCTATGGTTATCGGTGGTTATCTGCTTGTGGTAAACGTTAGCTCAGACGTTACTTATGCCTCTCCGATGAAAGAGAGCGAGATTTCAACAACTTACGGAGTTTGAAAGAGAGAGAATCATCGGCCTTCGTGAAGCTGGATTGTCTTATCGTGCAGTAGCCGCTCGTGTGCAGCGTAACAGAAGCATAGTGATGCGTGTTTGGAAGTAGTGGACGGACGAGTGTCAGACAACTCGGAAATCCGGGAGTGGACCCCGAAATGTCACGTCAGCTCGCGATGATAGACACCTGGTCCGCATGGTGCTGACAGTGGTCAATAGCTACAGGTGTTTTATTGTGTGCTTCATCAATTCGTAGACGTCAACTGCAGCGTGGACTGCACGCAGGGACTCCTTTATACAGGATCACCATCACGCTAAACCATAGCCGCCTGCGGCTACAATGGACCAATCAGCATAGGAACTGGCGTGATGATTGGCAGCGTGTTCTGTTTTCTGATGAATTCCGCTTTAATTTGTGGTACCATGATGGCCGCATTCGTATCAGATGCTATGCCGGTGAACGCCATCTTCCGGAGTGCATTATCGAAAGCCACAGTGGACGAGCACCCGGAGTTATGGTCTGAGATGCCATAGCATATCATGGACGATCTCAATTGCTACGAATTGTGGGTAATCTGAACAACAACCGGTACATCAGTGAAGTTTTACAGCCCCAAGCTGTTCCCTTCCTTCAAGCCTTGCCAGGCGCTGTATTTCAACAAGACAATGCCCGCCCTCATATTGCTAGGACTGTTCAATCCTTCCTTGCATTGCGACAGGTACAGCTTCTTCCTTGGCCTGCGTATTCCCCAGATACGTCACCGATTGAACATGTGTGTCATTTCGTTGGTCGGTGCCTCGCTCGTGATCCTCGTCCTGTTGCTTCTACAGACGAACTTTGGGTACGCATACAAACTATATGGAATGCTCTTCCTCAGACAGACATTCAAAATTTGCTTGACTCCATGCCACGTCGTGTAGCAGCGCTTATTGCGGTGCGTGGTGGCTACACAAAATACTGATTTCGATCTCTTGTTATTGTTTGTTTGCTTTGAAAGTTTAATCATTTATTTTTACCACTACCACTCAACTGTGTAGTAAATTTCATTCAATTATGACGATTCCTTCATGGTGTTGCAATTTTCACAAACAGGAGTTTAGTTTTGTCTGCGCTTGAAGAAAAAATTTCAAAATGGATAGCAAGATTGGTAGGTAAAGTGGCAAAAAGAAGAAAAATAAAAAGTTATTGAATATTATAAAAAAATATTCAAAAACTTTTATAACTAGTTATTGAATATTATAAAAATAAAGAGCATTAAAAGACATGATTAATTTTGCTATAGATTCGCCAGTAGAAAAAATAGTAAGGAAAAATAGGGTAAAATGCAAAACATTGTAGAGAACGCCATTTTTGAATTTTATAGAAAATATTACTAATAAATTCTAACTCAAGAAAAATATTTTTCAAATTACTCTTGCAATAAGTATTTATATTGGAATAGTAACGCAGATGCTTTACAAATACATAATTATTAACTCAGAGAAGAACTAAGACGTAAATTACTGAAAATAAAATATAATTGATAAAACTTGAGGAGAAAAATTTTATATTACCCAAAATTATATTATGGGAAAATTTTATTTATAAAACTTTTTTTTAACTTTATTTTGTGTAATTTTTGTTTTTTGAAAACTGAATATTCATTACAAGTATCAATTTAAATTATTACTGCGTCAAATTCTGAATAGATCAAAAAAATTTCAATCGTTATCAATTTTAACGAATTATCATCAGCTTAAAAAAAAAGAAGCCTGGAAACAACGTCACCGATGTAAATATATATCTAATATAGCAGACGATTTCTGACTGCCTTAAACGAAATTAAATATTTCATTTAAAAACCGAAATATAAATTGGCAATATTCCTTAAAAAAAATTTTTTTTAAATTACCAAACGATTTAGTTGCTTCTTTCGCCTTTTTAAATCAATGCTAAATACAGATGTTGGTGGAATAAAGTCTATGGATAATTTCAGAAATTAAAACAGGTAATTATATTTAATTTAAAATTTTTCTTAAAAGAGACTTTTTTTATTTTAGACTATAAACCTTGTAAGCAATTAAATTTTTAATTCTTAATAATATTTTGTTAAAAGAAGTCAAGAAAAGCAATTCTGCTGTTCAAAATGTTCTACGCCTGCTAAATAATTACACTACTAACTACATTAAAACACTATTCTAATTATAAATAAAATCATATCTCAACAGGAAATTGTATTTATGTAATAAGCGTACCTAATGAAAGCTGCTATAATTTTCCTTTTTAACTTAACTGAATATTTAATTAGTCATTAGAAAAATGCAAAAAAAGTGAAAACAATTAAAGTGCTAGCAGACTTAGGTAAAAGTTGAAATAAACTATTCATTCCGGTGTTAAATTTTATAATAAAAAAATTATCTGCAATTTTTTGACAAATTAATGCCCAACTTTGCTGCATTTTGTTTGAAAAAAAAAGTTCTCTTTCAAACCAAACAAATTTTGCAAACATACTTCGTCCTTGTTATCCCACAATAATAGGAACGCGCTTTCCTTACAAAAGTAAACAATTAATTTTTTTGTTTTAATATTCTTGTTAAATTTTGCCCAGTTAAATGTGGTGAAAAATGAATTAAAATAAGGACTATATTTAGTTGGTAGATTTCAACATTGTCAATATTTTAAAATATTATATTATATTATATTACATTACATTACATTACATTACATTACATTACATTACATTACATTACATTACATTACATTACATTACATTATATTATATTATATTANTTATACATTGAAATATTTGAGATTTGGCATATACAATCCACAATAAACTAAATTCAACTTTTCTAGGAGTGAAATATACTTTGCTTTAATAAATATTATTTTAGTTTAAAAAGCACATATATTATATTATATTTGTATTATATTATATTATATTATATTATATTATATTATATTATATTTCTTTAAAGTTTGTTTTAGAATCTCTAAAGATCCTTGATATCTAAATCCTATAACATCGGCTTGATATTTGCTAATAGTGAGTTAAGTACTCTACTCAGTCTTATGTATTTATAATTGAAATTCATGTTAGTAATAAATAGAAAAAATAAATGTTATCTTTATTATCTTAGCTTTTTTTGAACGGGAATGATTTGTAAAATTTTAAAATAATTTTTCAGCAAATAGGCAATTGAATTGGCGATTAGTTTTAATATGCTTGTTATCTAAAGGCATCTCTTAAAATTTTCACAAATTTTAAAATTTTCGTCTTAAAATAAATTTAGTCTTAAAATTTTCGTAATATGAATTTTTTTTAAAATTTTTTTTTATGAAAAAAAGAAATTCCCTTCTGTTGTTTTCTCATTCACCCCCCTCTTTTTTTCTTCCATGGTTCAGAAAATTTCGATCTTAATCTACAGGATTTCTTCAGAGTTCCTTTATGAAAAAAAAGGACTTTCTTTTAAAAAACTTATCTATAGTTTACATCTCTAAGCCTTTATGTCTCTTACTTTAAAGCGATTGTCTCTTGAAAAAACTTGTTTATTAGCAAATTAGAGTGAAAGACAAGCTAAAAAAATTAATTAACAGAAGAGCAGTTTCGCCATGTTAATTAAAAAATAATTTTACTCAAATTTCTAAAGAATTGTAGAATAATTCATCAAAAGCATTTTACTTAAAAACAACAATATGTATAAAAGGATAAAACAAATTCCATGACTTGGGGTAATGTAATATAAAGCTAACTTTCTTAAAATGTGTAGTAGAGCGTTTTTTGTTACAGTACATTTTCCTTACAGGAAGAAAGAGGTCTTAGTACATTGTGCATGGTATGTAGCGGGAATTCCTTACACTTGTAGAGTATCTGCAATTATCATAATTTATTAGCAATTTGCAAAAAACCTAAACTTCTGGAAAAGTCATGCTATAAACCCAACCTTGCAATTATAAAGCCATTGTAAAAACAATTAAAAATTTTACTTTAACTATTATAGTACACTCAGTGAAATGTTTAATAATAAAGGGATGCATTTATTAAATATATGAAGTTTAAAACAAAAAATTATGATATTTAATATTAATTTTAAAATGTTGGCTACCTAAACGGGGCATTAAATCGAGTTATGAAACATTTTTGAAAAACGTGCGGATTTTTTTCCCTCAGTCTTTTCATAGCAACAAAGTTTTACTTGTAAAAATCAATGACTAATTAAATTGAAATTTGAATTAACTGAAACATTGAATTTTTATGCACGATGCACTTGTTGCATTTCTTATTTATTAACCGAAGAGTTCAATCAGCCCATAATATAAATAATTAAACTTTTTTCGTTGAATAAATAGCCCTAATATTGGAAAAAAATTATAATTATTTCAATTTTAAGTTTTAATAATCTGGCTACAACAATAAAACATTGAAATTAACTATGAATATTTAAAAGAAATTCTTTTTTTACTAAGTAATTATTCACACAAAAAAGCGAACATTTGGAATAAATGAACATTCTAACTGAAATCAATGATCCTTACCAAAGTCTTCATTTTGTTGAAGATTCTCAGCAAAACAGGTGACGAGCAACCCGTGTGCTTGTGTGACATAACTTCGCCAAATTCCATACCTTTTTATATCAACTACAACGACCTTGCATCATCAGACATTGTTCTAAATTTTTTTCTTCTCCCATCTTCTGCTTTCTTAAAAAATTTATTTTGATGGAGGCGACTCGCATCCAGCAAGTAGTTCATCATAGTACATTTTTTATTCTCCATATATCATGCGCCGTTTTTCATAGCACAGAACAAATGTACTTGTGATATATGACCTTTGAGAAAAACATTCAGCTTTTTGTCATTCTCTTGATTTCGAGGTATGCATGATTGTTGGCGACAAAGGTGACTGTTTCACATATTTAAATCTAAAAACGTGATTATGAATTTTAAGTCTCGCCTATTGTTTCCGGCATTTTGGTTTTGATGTGCATTAAAGGTATTTCAATTATTAATGCATCATCTTATTCCAAACATTTTTCGAGGAAGTAAATAAATAAAATATTTTGCTACCAGCCTAAATTCTTTCAGTGGACACGGATAATGTATACAGATCTATTTACAGCTTTACTGAATGTATTGATAAAATAACGTTTGATTATTAATTTATTAAAATTTATTTTTATTAAAATTTGTTCTCATCAAAATTTATTTTTGAAATTTATTATTAAAATTTATTTTAAGCAAAATTTATTTTTATCAAAATTTAGTTTTACTAGAATTTAGTTTTATTAAAATGCATATTAAATATAAATTTTAGGCAGGTAGAATTCTGTACTAAATCTGCAATCATTTTTAGTTTTAATGTAAGAAGAAGCTCATTAGCCTGCCTTAAAAGTTCCATTTTCGGAATTATTGCCTCCTCAACCTCAAGTTGTATAGTTATTACCCATGAATGAAATAGTTGCATGAAAAAATATTTGGAATAAATAAAAGTAGAATCACTTTATACATTTAGATTCAAGCGTACACATCAACACTTTATCAAAAACTTATAATGGAATAAGAATCAAGATTGTATAACAATTCGGCTTTACATGTTGAGGAAAACCCCGAAAACCTACAAATGTTAACCGACAACAAGGAGATTCTAAGCCATAATCCGTCTACTACTGAGGACATTTAACATCATCACTATGGTCGGTGCGAGCAGAATTTGTACCAACCAGCCACCGCTGGGATTCGTACCAGGGTCAGCTGGCAATTGGCCAAAACTGGCAGATCGGTTAATTTTGAAGTTCTCTTTTTGGAACCAAAGGAACAGATTTAGCGAGATATGAAAATTATTTTAGGTAGAAAAAAGGAATGCTAACGTGTGATAATTTTTAATTGTCTACTGTAACATTAACTAAATTTCCGTTTTAGGAAACTTTCGATACTCTTAAAGTAGTAATTTCATAGTTATTTATCATAATTTATTTATTAGTTTATAAGTTAGTAGATCATAATTTATTTATTAGTTTTTTTTTTAACGTGAATCAATCTGCGTTTAAAACTTACGGGAATCATTAACATTAATTGAAACGTGTTGTAAGTCTGATATTATGATGAATAATTATTATTAAATTATAAATGCTGGATGTTTATAATTTAATAATAATTATAATCTATATTTCAATCTTATGGATAATGTAAGTTATAATACAATCTATTACTCTATACATTTGAAAGAAAATAAATGCTCTTAGCGAATTTGGCAATGAATTTTTTAAAGATTTCTTCCCCTTAATACTATTCCTTTAATAATTTCCTTTTCGCTATTTGTTTGTTCTACTCTTCAGTCAAATAAAATATCTTACAAAATGGCTTAAGTTAGTTTTCGAGTTAATTAAACTATCTCGCTATTTTCTCTAGAAACTGAATTAGTTTTTTGTTCATTCCTTTACAGATTGAACTTTCTTTTATAGAAATTCCTTAATATGAATACATCATAAAAATATTATCAATATAACAAATGAATTTTTTTTGCCAGTTCTAGCATTCGTGTAACATTTTCACCTAAGTAAATTGTCATTATCCCCGTCATGACCACTGTGTAAAATATACACACTAAAAAAAGAATTCAAAACATTAGTTTTTTTGAAAATTTACAAAAATGTTACCGTTAGAATCGCTAACAAAAATTTTCAAATATAATTTTAGTTAGAGCTGGATCGAAGACTTTGGCCGACATTGCTCTGTAAGAAATTTCTCGGAAAAAATGTTAAAAAATAACAATAAACTCGGTAAAATAACAATTTATTTAATTGTTATTTTACCATATTCAAACAAAACAGTCAAATAATCATAAATAAGATGGTAATCAAATTGTTAACTGTGAGAAAAACCGTTCATTAACTGCTTTAACCTAATACGGTTAAATAACTTAAATTTTATCGCATCAACTAAACCCTCTTTATGAAGCTTTTAGTTCCTTTCAACTGCATATTCTAGATAATAGGGCAAATCAGTCTGTCAGTCTCATGACTGATAGAAGTGGGGTTCGAGTTCTAGCGTTGACACCATAATATTCTCTCTATACACTTCAACACATGAAGAATTTCCAGTGTCATGCATTCTCCAATGCCAATTGCATAATGAAAAGTCTATCTCCCATGTCCAGTTCAATTTCTTTTTTACGGTTTGGAAACCATGCTAGATGTAAATGGTTAAAAAACGTCTAGTTTCGTATTCATGGTTTTATAACCATATTAGTTGTAAAGGGTTTCAAAACCGTAAAAGTAAAAAAAAATGTTCTTTACCGTAAACTTTATGGTTTTTCGGATGCACAGACTGCTGCCGGTTATTTTACCATAATTTTCAGAATAAAAATTCCAACAGGTGCTCTTCAATTCAATCTGTGGCTAATTCAATCTAGGTGCTCTTTCAATATAACTAGGATATTTTAACCTAAATCGATTAAGTTGATTCATATTTAATAAAAAAGTTGCATGTAATTCAGATGTGTTTTGGATATGATTTGAAGTTAAAATTAGTGAGAATTTTTTCTTTATTATTTTTTTATTATTAATTACTTATTAATATTTTTATATTGAAGATTATTGTCAGAAATTACAGCCAGAAAAATTATAGCCGCACTTTTAATAATTAGGAGGCTTATAATAATTAAGAGGCTTTTTTATAATTAGGAGGCATCTCCCTTAAGGCTCACTCCACTCGCCAAACGGCTGCAACCTCGTTGGATTCATCTGGATCTTTTTACTCTTAAAAGTAGGCATTTTTCAAAATTTTACTCTTTTATGCAATTTATGAAATTTTTATACTTTTATGCAAGAGAATTTTGTTAACAAGTTAATGGTAACAAAATGAACGATTTACGTTTGTAAAATGTCCTCAAAAAAGAAAAAAAAATCAACTTAAGAATGCAGATTTAGTGAAGAAGTAATAAATGATAAATAATTTTACTTGTTAACTAGAATTTCGACTTAAATGTTAAAAATTTGGCCACATCTAAAACAATTCTCTATAAATTTTCTTCATTCATTTTATCTGTTACTTTTCAATAGAGAAAAAATAAATTTTTCTTCAAAAGTGCATTAATAATCGTTATATAAAACTTAAAAAAAGTGAGGGAAAAAAACTCGCAAAAAAAGTATCAAATATTCTATAACTTTCGGACAAATTGAAATTTAACAAACAGAAGTAATAATAACTCGCTTTTAGTTCATAAATGAAACTGGCTCTTGTGGCCTACTGAGCGGCTTTGAGGTATTTTTTACTGAACAGATTATAATTCTGTGACTAATTATTGGATGTTTAATTTTTTTTATTTAATTTTTTATTTAATATTTGGAATTTAATTTTTAAAATTCCAAATACTGGGTGAAGTGAAAAACAGTTTCTTTATAAATTTAAATAAAATAAAATTTTCTTTTACTCTTTTCTATCATTTTAGTAATTACTACAGCCTATATTACAAGACAGATAAGATATTATTTAGTTCAGGCGACATTATAATGAGTAAAATAAATCTAATTATATCTAAATAAAATAAGCAACTAAAAACAATACTATGTGAATATATAAGTGCAAATATGTTTATTCTTATCTAATTTTTCCTTTTTGAAATTTTTTCAAGCATCTGTCATTCATATTTGAATCAAATCAAAATTATAAGTCTCTAATTGTCTATCAAGGTCAGTCACAGAAAAGTTGCTGCTCGTAAAGAAAGGTTGCTGTTCGTACAAAGAGAATTGGAAGAATAGTTAGACATATGATATTAATAAGGCTCTAACCACGATCATAGAATTTAGGGATTAAAATTACTATGATTTATAATTTTGTGTTTTCTTTGGCATATAATATTTATAGTATTTTAATTATATATGTGTTCTTATTCCATAGTATAATTAAATTGAGTTTTACTTCTTAAATTTAGTAAAACAAAAATCTCGATTAAAATCATAAATAGATGTTATGATGATAGAGATAGAGATGACAGATTATCTTTCCAACCAAAAACAAGAAATTATCAATAAACGTTAGTTTTTTAATTTTGAAATTCTTTTAAATTGCATGTATATGCATTGTTACTTTTCTGAATATCAGGAAAAAAATATTGCCTTTTGATTTATAATAAAAATGACGTTATGCTTTTATAACACAAAAGCCCTTAAGCATCGATACAAAATTGCTTTTAAACAATATAATAGATCTTGCGTTTTGTGAGTTTAACTTTCATAAAGCAATTAAAAATACAAAATGTTTGAGATGCAATTTAGTCTCTGCTCTTAATTGTTACAACTTTTGATCTTCTTTCGAAGTCTAATCAATAATTTTAATTGAAGAATTTCGAAATTTATTCGATGTAAACCAATTACTTCAAAATCTTTTATGTAACAACAGATCAATCGTTTTAAAATTTCTACAGAACCAGTATAATCAGTTTTATGCATTAAGGCGTTACAAAAACAAAAGCTTAAAAGTTACTATTCATCGATCAAAAACAAAGTAGTCCTCATTATTTCAACAAGCAAAAAATAAAATTTTGCTGGAATCAATGTATGTGGATTTCCTTAACGTAGAAGATACAAAATTTATGTGCACGAAAAACTAAAACAATGAATAGAGTTAAGTATGTGCATAAAATTGTTTTCACTTTACTTAATTTGAGCTTAATCTATCCGCTCTTA